TCCCATGATTTTATTTTAAGAGAGCAGATAAAGATGCCCTACTTCTCTGAACAAGATTAAAAAAAAATAATTAGCTCCTCCAAAATTTTATCCTATTTATTTTACATATGCTTAAATTATGATCAAAGGATTGATTATTTTACTAATTAATTAATTGTATAATTAAATTAAATGACAATCCTGTACACTATATATTTTTGGTTTGTTAAGCTGAAAATAAATTTTAAACTTTTTCATTTTTTTTTATGTAGGTAAACACTTATTCTTTATTTAATAGTAATAAAAGTAGACGTTATTAACTACAAATATTGAATCTCATTACTTTTTCATCGCTGTGCATTACAACATTTTTCATTAGATGGTCAAATAAGGAAAACGTTCAATGGAGAGAGACGAAATTATTTTATATTGATGCAGCCTGACAGGTCTTATCTAAAACAAAATCGTCTCTCTTTATTACAACGTGTTTTCCAATCACTAACGGATCCAGGATTTAATTTTTTTTTTTAGGGGAGGGAAGGACTTCAGCCCGAAAGCTTTTTTGTAATATTTCTTAAATCAATGTACGGTCAATGTTCAGTTGTGCCATCACCTGACACACACTTCCAAATTACAAATTACATTATTTATTTTTACTTATTGTAAATAGAGTGTGAGTGTGCTCTCTGAACACTATTATAAATGTCCTTGGTGTGACAGAATGTAATATTTCTAAATAAACAAAAAAAAAAAAAAAATATTTCTTTTGATAATTAGTTTGGAAAAAATAAAGCACTACCGATATGAAATGGTGTTTAATTGATTCTTGAAGTCCAATTAAATGTAATTAGACGAACAATAATAATTTTTAAAAATATTTTTTTCTGTAAAAGATGGTTGTTTTACTATTTAGGGGGGAGGACTCCAGCCCGAAAGCCCCTCTCCCCCATAGATCTGCCTGTTTTCCAATTGCATGGTCAAATAAGGCCTGTCAGGCTGCATCAATCTAAAATTAAAAATTTTATATTAATAATATTAAAAACATCAATGAGGATAAAACCTCAATGATATTAAAGACCACTTAATTTTACAATTATAAACCGAGTTTAATCAAAATCGTTGGAGCCGTTTTTGAGAAAATTGTTAAAATGTGTTTCACCATTGATATAAAGTGGCACTTCCGGTTTGTCGATTTTCAAAAGTTGCTGTCACATCTAAGGCACGTAAGTGAAAGTAAAAATATTGGAAACATGTAAATTCATTTGTTTTTCGCAAATGCTCAATAATCATTATGGTCGGATTCCGATCAATGGACGAATCCTAATAATATTAAATAGATACAATTAAAAATCACTATAATAATTATTTTTCTGTTTTGAAGTAAGGGGAGGGTCTAAAGGTCCCTCATCCGTGAATCCGCCAATGCTGGTAGATTAACTAAAATATTCCGATATAAAACACTAGCGGATCCAGAAATTAATTTTTTGGGGTGGGGGCTTCACCCCGAAAGATTTTTTTTTCATATACATATAACGATAATTAATTAGAAAAAAAGAGAAAGGAATCAACTACCTATATGAATTGGTGTTTAAGTGTTTCTTGAAGTCCTATTAAATTAATTACACGAACAAGAATACTTTAAGAGATAGTTTTTTAATATTTTTTTCTGTAAAATATGGTGTTTATATGTTTATATATGTTTTACCATTTTTTTTTTTGGGGGGGGGGGGCTTCAGCCTGAAAGTCCCTCCCCCCTCCCCCGTAGATCCGCCTGTGATATAAAATAATCCTCTCAGTGCCGGCCGTCGACGAAACAACATTACACTACTCCACACATCTTATCAAATATTCCTTTTCATTATCTAAAATCCAATACACTAAACCCACCCCCAAACCCTCATTCAAAACACCCATCTCCATACACCAACCACAACCTCACACCCCCAACCACAACAAACTATCCAATCCAATTCTTAATTCCAATCTCCAAACAATACCATAACAAACCCCATCCACCCCCCTCCCTATCTAAACACCCTCCACCCATAAACACATCCCACCCCACACTACCACACCTACAACACAACATCCCCACCCTCACCCACAAAACCACACCAACCTAAAATATTACCCTTCCTCCCCCACTCATATTTCTACCTTACCCATTCTCACAAACCCCCCACTCCACAACCCATAACTCACAAACAACCTATACCAACAATTCCCTACCAAATCCTACCCCACAACAACCAAAAACCAACAAACCTCCTCCCACTAACCCCATAAACCCTACCTTACAACCCTCATCCATCCCTCATCAATAACCCCCCCACAACCACCCTCCATCCAACATTCCCAAAACCACATCAAAAAAAAAAACAATACAATAAACCAAAAAACATCCCCACAACACTCTCATACCCCCTTCCACACTCAACCCACAACCACCCTTCACCCCAACCTCACCCCACCCCAAACACGGGATATATTTACGTGTTCTGTGTTCTGGGTCATGTGTACAGTTATTTGTCGATAAGGATGTTAGAATATGTCTTTTTTTATAAAATAAAAAAATAAATAAAAAAAGAACAAAACATTCGGGACATTCTTGAAAGCAGTACGTGATGGACAAAGGAAGATCTGGACGGTAGGCTGTGCAGGACCTTTCACGACAAAGTGACTAAGCGACTCTATATAATGTTATATAGTGCATATATGCAAATAATTATTTCATACTACGTTATCTATGTTTAAATAAAAAATGTAGGTATTTTATTGAAAAAGAAATACATATTAGAAAATTCATCGAGGGATGAACCTTCATGTGGGATTGGAAGCATACTGCGCAGACTTAGAGATGGGTGGGGGGGGGAGAGGATTTATTTTAGGATGTTTTGATATTTATTTTAAAATGTGTATTACCTACCATACTGTTCTAAATCTTAAGTTTTATAAGGAAGAGGGAAGGGATGAATGATGGGAGGGAAACTAAGCTTGCAACTCCTGGCACTAGCGGATCCAGGATTTAATTTTGAGGGAGGACTTCAGCCCGAAAGATTTTTTTTCATATACATATCACGATAATTAATTTGAAAAAAAAAAGGGAATAAATTAACTACCTATATGAAATAGTGTTTAAATGGTTCTTGAAGTCTTATCAAATATAATTACACGAACAAGAATAATTTAAGAGATAGTATTTAATATTTTTTTCTGTAAAACATGGTTATATTTTACTATTTTGGGAGGAGGGGGCTTCAGCCCGAAAGTCTCCCCCCCCCGGAGATCCGCCTGTGCCTCCTGGAAACAATCCCAGCAAGAGTAAAGATCAAATGATACATTACACAGAATCAATATTATTAAAGGAAATATATTGAAACGGTCCCAGCCCGAAAGCCCTCTCTGCTGTCAGTATTTTCATCAGTATTTGTTCTTCAGTAAATGTTGTTTGATGAAGGAGTATATTTCAACTATTCACCAGCGGATCCAGGTTTTAATTTTGGGGAGGGCTTCAGCCCGAACGATTTAAATTTTTTTATTTTTATTTTATAAATGATTTTTTATTTTTTTATTTTATAAAAATAACAATAATTACTTTGGAAAAAAAGAAAGAAACTAACTACCAATATGAAATGGTGTTTAAGTGATTCCTAAAGTCCTTTTAAATGTAATTATTCGAACAATAATACTTTAAGAGAAAATTTTCTACTAATTTCTCTTATAAATTAATCTCTACTACTAATAAACTAATCTCTTATAAATTTTAAACTAATTTTTTTCCATAAAACATGGTTATATTTTTCAATTTCTTTTTTGGGGGGGGGAGGTGGCTTCAGCCCAAAAGCTCCCCGTAGATCCGCCCGTGCAACTATTCAATCAATTAAAGTTAGTGGTTATTTATATCATTGGTATTAATTAATTAATTAAAAAAAAACGTTTTTTATATTCTATTTATTGAAATTTACAACTGTATTAAATAAATACAACCAGTAAATATGCACAAATTAGAAATAATGAACAGACTTGTCGAGATACTACAAAATGGTAGCTCTGCCTAAATAATTCTAGGTAAGATCACGATGCCATCTCCTTTTCAGACATCTAGAAGAATTATCAGAAATCGAGAAAGTTTTACGGTAATCATTGTAAAGTTTTACCTTACAGCTGGAAACAGGTGGATTCGGTGGAACTGGAGTTTATTATGAAAATATAGATATCTGGCGCTGGCTAAATCAGCGACACATGGAACGTTAAGGTCTTTATGAATGGTTTTATTTGCGATAAAATATGGGGCATTAAGAATTTTACGAAGGATTGGATACGATATGAATTCGATGGTTTGGTGGAATCCCAAAGCTCGAATAAAAAAAAAAAATAAAATAAATGAAATAAAAGCGTAATAATAAATAGTATTTGCTGAAAATATATTAGTGTAACTTATTCATTGCCCAAATAATTAATTACCTTGAGGACCATGGACGTGACAAAATGTGTTTGAAGTACTTCACACTAATTAAAATAAACCTCATTATAGAATAAACGATTTCACCGATATTTTACTGAAATAAACGAATTAGAAACACTTTATGGTATTTTAGTTACACTGTTTTCGGTTCTTTACGCGATAGCTTCGTTTACGTTAATAAGGTTGTGTTAAAATAGAACTATGCTAGTTAACGGGTTTTCTTAATTTTTTATGTTACTTATAAGATGAATATTTTAAAATACTAAAAGATATTATTCCTAATTTAGTAATTTTATTAATAAAATAAATGATGATATAGATTTTTTAAAAAATAATATACAATAAAAAAAGACCAAAGCGGTAGTTCAAAGTTCATACCAACTAAATGTAATAAGATATCGATTGCTGCTGCTGATATCAGCGTTATCTGTATACAATCAACTATTTTTAGCTCTGTCCGCAGAGCTTTGTCGGTCTGCGTCCGGTCATGTCTCTGGAGCTGAAAGTTCAACTCAATTCTAGTTCCAATTGAATTTATATTTATATTTAATTGATAATGTTTTCTCTTAATTTTATATTACTGTTTTTCTTAACAGTCAGCCCTTCTCTTAGTAAAACTAAAACCGGTAAGTTTATTTATAGTTATGATAAGGTTTTTGTATATCATGTTTCTTTTGAATTGGAATCATTTATCAAGTTCTGGTCAATTAAAAAGGTTCAGTTTTAATAGTTTATTAAAAGCCGAATTTAAACCAGCACTATAAATGGTTTGAGAAAAGGAATAGTTCTGGTTTGTTTATAAACATGTTCATAATTTTAGAAGTTTTAAAAATAGATTTATTGTGTCATTAATAGTTATTATAACCTTTTGAGAGATGAGTGAATAAATTTATTTGAAGTCGATTAAGTATGGATTCTAAAACATTATGAATCAATTCATAAATTTTATTATAAATAAAGCTTTCTTAGCTTCCAAGCATCACAAGTGAGAACTAGTTTACTGCTGACTTTTGTATAAAATACTGTCTTTAAAAAAAAATTAGATTCTTTTTGACAACTTTTAGCTTAGTGGAATTATAGCAATAACGTTTCCTGTGATGATGGAGATAACAATTTATGCTGATAGAGTGAACTGTTTATACTAATTTTATGACACCCTTTGGTTTATTGATATTTCTTACTGTTATGAATATTTTTATATGTATTAATTGGTTGTATCTGCTTAGGAGATCTCTTGATTTTTACTGTATCAACAAATGAAACTGATGGCTTCAAAAGATACATTAAGTCAACTGAAGCTTACGATTTGTCTGTCAAAGTAAGTACTGGAAATTCTAGAATTGATTATATTGTTAACATATTTTACATGTAATTTATTATTTAGGTCCTTGGTATGGGACAAAAATGGGAGGGAGGTGACATGAAGTTTAGAGGAGGCGGATTTAAAATTAACCTATTGAGGCAGGCACTAAAGCCATATCAACATGACGAATCTCTCATCGTTATGTTCACTGACAGGTATCTAATTTTTGTTTTAATTATCTTATTAATTTTTAAGTAAATAATATATCAATTATTTATCGATTGGGTACTACTTTGAATGCTTCTCCATCCTAAAGGATTAAACATGTACAAGACATGTTTTTTAACCCTACTTAGAGCTTTCTGGTGTATGGGTTTCATAAATAACTACAACTGGAATTCTAAGATTGGATGAATATTTGTGCCTGTAGGGGTATATCCTCCTTTTATTCAGATCTCTGTATAAAACTTCCTCTAATTCCTAGGTGGTTCTTTTAAGTTTTTTTCTCAACTTCCGCACATTTTTGGCTAGATGGGGTTGTTCCCAGACCAGGAAAAGGGAACAAAACCTCATATTTATTTTATCATATCGTCTTCAGTTTATCAGATTGCTGAGAAACATGTGTTTTGCACACGGATTAATCCACTCAGACACACCGCCTCCTGTTTCTTTCAGTTATAATTGAAGCCTTAATTAGCTTTAATTACATCAATGCTGTTGTGTTCTGCTTGCAGTGCTCACTCAAAACCCCTTAATGGTTCCATATCAGTTGAAATCGGATTCTTACCAAATGAATCGGTCATCTCCATCTACTTTTGGACACATCATTTAGTCATTGTTGGAATTCCATTTATAGTGTGGTCATGAGATCTTGTGCCACCCATCTAAGGGACTTATAAAGTTGTACCATTGATTCTTCAATTCCATTTAAACAGAAGATAAGGTTCTTTTTACTCAGAATAATACACTCTTTTTATACACTTTTAATTTACAATGAAACCTTCACCTTAAATGAGGTCGACTTTTGGGCCCTGCCTCCAGGGCTATGAAACCAGCATTGAAAATCCCAATTTAATAAAGAGGGTGGAACCATGAGGAACGGCTAGTTATAAAATGATTGCTCACTTATTATAAGGTTTGTGTAGCTAACTTTCACGTGTATGAAAGTGATATAATTTTTCCATATCGATTGATGTTTTTGGTTACTGCTCTCTACTGCAGCCTTATATGAGGCTTTCAGTTGACAGAATGACTAACTCCAATTTGAATATTTATGAGTAAAGTCATTTTAGTGATATTTATAGTTGGGAAATTTATAATATCTGTTCAAAAAGTGAGTTAAATTGATTCCCGTGTAGGTGATAGCAGTGTTGAAATATAGAACTGTGAATAAAAGTATACATTTTCTCACTAGAAATATCCCTAAAATTAATAATAAAAAATGTTGAAATTAGAGTTAGTCATTCTATTAACTGAAAATCTCATAATAGTATAGATGTACTGAGCTTCTCATTTTGGAATTTATGATTATTAATTATTGTTAAATACTCTGAGATTAGAATATTTGTTTCTTATTTTGATACAGCTGTATATCGTAAAAACCATTCCTTGATTTTAAAAATTTTTTTTTTCAGCTTTGATGTGATGTTTTTAGGAACTAAGGAGAATATTATTAAAAACTTTAAAACTTTCAATGCAAGTATTGTGTTTGCTGCTGAAGTTTACTGTTGGCCTGAAAAATCGCTTGCAGACAGTTATCCTAAAACTGAATCTCCCTACAAGTATTTAAACTCCGGAGGTAATAATTCCTTCAATTTTTTTAATGATCCATTAGTTAGGTTGAATCAATAATATTAAAAAATTCCAGTTCGATAAATCTTGTTTTAAAATATAAACAAATAACTTTTCAATTTTCATACATATGATGGGTACGTGAATAAGTGGATATGGTTAACTCAATAACAACATAAAATGATGTGAAAAATTAAGGGACGAATATATTAAGGCTTTATACTAATAAGTGAAGGAGGGTTCACAGTATAAGATGAGGCAATTCATATCAGATCAATCTATTTAAATGCCTGGAAAAATGCCTGTATGGCTAGTAATTTTGTAGATATCGAAGCAAATTAAAAAGTTTAATAATGATGAGTATTTTTCTACATTTCTGTTTATCAAAACATATTTTCAGTCGAAATGCAAATTCAAAATGGCTGCAGAAAAGACTATGAACTTTAACATTTTTGTAAATATATTTTTGAACTCTCAAATAAATATAGAATAACTGATAAAAAAATTATAAAAATAAAAAAATGTCGAGCAACATTGTTTAGGTGATTTCAAATGAATTGATTTCTAATGGTAAATAATATTTTAATTTGTTAACTGTGTTTTTATTTTGTCTTCTAGTTTTCTCTCGGTTGCATAATGTTATAATCAATATTTTGTTGTTCAGTCGTATTTTGTAATTGCAAATGCAAACAATTTAATAAAATTAGATTAACATTATAAGATTATTAAGGTATTATTAACTATACGAAATATGTTCGGAAATATTATTAACTTTCTTTCTAATGATCAGGTCAAGGATTTCAATAGCCTATAAATCTTTATGGCACAACATGGAATATTTCGGTAAAAAAGTGCGGGCATCTGTCCAGTAGATTTGTGGGTAACAGTTACAAATGAAAAATGAGCAGTCCTTTTGTATAATAGCATGATTGTTTAGTCACACAAAATTTTATTTTTACAAACTTTTATTCATTTTTTATTATTATAGGTTTCATTGGTTACGCTAAGCAGTTGTATAATCTTTTGAATGAAAACAGATTAAAAGATAAAGATGATGATCAACATTATTTCACAAAACTGTTTCTGAATACAGAAATCAGAGAAAAATATCGAATCAGGCTTGATCATAAAGCTACCATTTTCCAGTGTGCTTCTGGAGCTGCAGGTAGTGTAGTGTTTGAATCTATTTTTTGTTTGATAATTGCATTCTACCAAAGAGGTGATGCGTGTGTAAAGATGTGTTTGAAATATGACTCAAGAATGTTGGTGCTGCATTATTTTATTGTCTTACCATATTTACATTATATCCTTTTAATTGTTTTATTTGTATATCTTTTTAATTTGTTAAAGAATTAAACATAGATATGTGTACAATCTTAACTAAACATTTATTCTTTATATATATCTGGAACATTAATCATTGAGGGAGTGGTAGGGCACTGAGCTTCCAATGGAAAGGTCCCAGGTTCGAACCCCGGCTCATGGCAGAAAATTTATTTATCTGTTCTATTGGCCGTGGGGCGACCCTGGATTGGAAGACCCTCCTGGGGCACACCCAGCCTCTATAAAGTGGGTACCCTTAATTGAGTAATTAATAAAGAGGAAAAACCTGGTGGTTGAGCGTGATCTCGGTCAAATCACCTCCTTGTACAACCGTTGACCTAGAAACAGTGCTTTCCCTAAATAGTGCTGAACCCCAGACCATTCATGGGTTGTAGTGGTACAGGTTTTTTTTTTTTTTTTTTGTTAATCATTGAGGATATAGAAAAGTACATTATGTTTAAATGAAGTTAGAGAGGAAGCTTTACAAACAGAGAAAGATAAGGAATTCCCAAATGAGGTAGCACTAATGATAATCGATTTTTCAAAGTTAGTTGAGTGATAATAGATATACATGGTCGGTTGAGATTGTGTATTATATTTAAGAGGTGGATAAAAGAACTGAAGGTACGGAGATCAAGAAGAACAGGAACGTTTTTTGGTTCTTTAATATCGATGTAGGAAGATATTTTTTCCAGACTTGAAATAAAGACAACCTAGTCAATAATGCTTGTCAGAGATGTGAACACCAAAAATAAATGTTATGAAGATATTCATTAATCTTTAGCCTCATCTCATGCTCCCTAGGTAGCCCTGTATGGGCGATTGCGACTACAGGTTGGAATGGAACAGAATGGAATTTTCCACCACTGGAATTCGTTCTGGTTCTCGTTCCGTTCCATCTTTGTTCTGAACAACATATGAACCGCGATTGAGAATAATTAAGTAAATATGCGTAATACTAAAACTGTTTAAAACGACTGAAAAATCATTGAAGCGGAGGAAAATTAAGTTTTTTAATAAAACTATTTTTTGGTTGGTAAAATTAATATATTTGTCTTAATTTTCCTTAAATATTTCCTTACCCCAAGTTGCAGAAAAATTTTAATGAGTAAAAATTCATTTCTGTTTTCTAATTTGCTTTTTTTTTATATGCACAATTTAATTAATTTAAGATTTACTAATTTAAACTAAAAATAACAACACACATAGACAGTTTAATCTGTATCATAATCATTCCAAACTGATGCTAGATAAAAATCTCAGATTGGAACGAAAATGTAACATGATTGAACGTATAAGCATTCCAATGGAACGTGAATCCAAAGTCCCTCTGAATGAGAAAGACTGTTCTGGGTGGAACCATTCCGAACTGTTCTTCAGGAGGGATGGTTTCATCGAATCGGTTCAAGAAATTTTGATTACGACTAACGAGTCTTTTAGTTCTGTTTCTTATTCGTTCTGCCGTTGTAATATGGCTTACAAATAAATTCAGAATAAAATAATATAAAAAGCCAAAATTTAATAAAAATCAATATTTTATTTTACTTTTAAAATTTTTAAACAATATTGATGATTTTCACAGGCAAAATAAAAGTCAAAGTAAATAAAACACAAAATCATTGACGTTGGAGGTTGTTGATATTATGAATTAAATTTTGTTCTCTGTAGGTGTTGCGATTATCAAATGGTATTCCTTTGTGATTATTAATTTTGGTATGCCTAATTGTCTTTTGCATCAACATGATACCACATATTTCGTGGCTGATGGGGTTGTTGGTATTAGTTACATTGGGGTAGTTTTTGAGGAGACTGGGTGCATTGGTAAGGGATGGTTCGTCCTGGTGTGGTGTGGGGAGTGCGGGGAGGAGTGTCGTTTGAGGGGGCTTTGCGGGTTTGGGTAGTGAGGTATTTTTGGAAAATGTGGGGTGGTGAGGTTTTGATGAGGAGTAGGGTTTGTGTCGGAGGGTGTGGGTTGCGTTAATTACTATTTCTTTATAATTTAAGCAACACTGGGTGGGACTGGTACGGGGGCCATGGGACTGTTCGGGTTTCTCATTTGTTGTTGCCCTTTCGATGCAAAGACTGGTTGCCTAGGTGGGCTACGGCCATTAATCACTTTGGCGGCTTTCAGCACACTTAGTAAACTTAGGTTTGGGTGTATTTGAAGGGGGGTCAATAGCCCTGGGGTACCGGTGGACGGTTCTGCCGTAACATTGACCGATGATACCTAAACAAGTTTTATAATTGGAGCTCGTCGGTAGGAGTATGTGGTCCGGCGAGGATGTTGTTGGGGGGGGGGGCGCCTTTCCGTAGCGGAGGCTGGGGCCAGTGGGGGGAATTGGTTTAAGGATCCATTATTTTTAGGGATAATTCCGCAGCCGATTGGGCCTGCAGTGAGAATGGGCCAGCCCTTTGAAGGCTGTATAGTAAGACGGGGTCTTCCACTAGTCACTGGGGGCGAGGGAAGGTAGAATGAGAGAAGATACTAGAAGATGGGTACTTTGAGAAAATAAATCACAGAATCATAAGAGCTGTTTGATGATTGAGATTAATTGTGGGTGATTTGGAATTATAATTACTCAATGTTAAGTTAATCAAAGGTAACTAAAGTTTTTATAGATTTTTGGAACTGAATAGGAATGTTGTTGTAATATAAGAATGGATAGGAAGGGAGAGTTTTAAATTTTTAAGCATTTTATAAACTTTTGCTGGGATAAGGCACAAATTATTTTCAATAAGTCACAAAGTGATAAATACTTTCAATATCATCCTGCAGTCTATGAAAAACCTCGAGTTTGTCAGAATGCAAAGAAATTTATATTTGAAGGCCATCTACATGTGGTTCACAAAGACCATATTGTAAAAATTGATAGAAGGAAGATAAGGTTGGTGATACGAAAATTCCCTGAGAAACACCTCATGTGAAAAGTAGTGACAATGAGTTAGGTTTGGATAGTTCAAGAGCAGAAAGACAAGTATTTGAACAAACTTAAAGCACTATTACACAGGGTATAGGGGTATGGTGTGTTATGTAGTTGGCAGGGAATAATTGTATCATTTACTGAGTCACAGGCTTTTAAAAAAATAAAGATGACAAAGATTATGATTTCCTGTTGATCCATGGAGGAATAAAAGGCTAATAATTTCTAGCAGACAGTTATATGGAATAACTATTGGATTATACTCAAGGAAGAAGCTGATTAAAGAATAGATTAATCTCTCCAGAGACTTGTAGGAAGAAAATGGGTCGGAAGACAGACCTTGGCCTACAAGGAAGAGGATCCTTATTCAATAGCCAAAAAAGTACCTTTTTCTAGGTTTTGAAAAAAAAAAAATTGAAAGAAAAAGTTTTAGGTTTTTTGAAGGACAGGAAAACCGATAGGAAGGCTATTTATTCATTTTTACAGGTATATATTCTTGACCAGAAACAGAAGTTCAGCATTTAAATACAGAACAATTTTAATCATCAGGAAATAAACTATACTTGGAATGTCTTTTGTCGCCATCATTACTTATATCTATCTCTCGAAATTTACATCTATTATTAATTTACAAAGCTTCATGAAGTGTTCATAAACCTTGATTTTTTAAGAGGAATTTATAATGATATGATTTTGGTAACCCATATGAAATGGCTTAGTGCAGAAGCTTAGGTACATGCCAACTACTAGTAGGCATCAAAGATGTAATAATAATAATTATATTCTAAAATATTTTTCTAGATCACTTGAAGCTTATTGAAAGCTCTGATGGCTACTACGCTCTACTTAATGAAATCACTGGGTCTCAACCTTTAGTATTGCATGGAAATGGACCTAGCAAACTCTACTTAAACTCAGTCGGTAATTACTTATCTAAAGCGCGTAGCTCAAGTACTAATGATTGCCTGGATTGTCCCTCTATCAATATGCCTTACGTAAGAATACACTGATCTAATATAGAAAAGAAAGAAATTATAGGTTGTTAAATGTAACTAAAACATATAAAATAATATTTTCAGGTTGGTGAATTTCCCATTATATTGATGGGAATTTTTATTCCTTTTGATACACCATTTATGGAGGAATTTTTAGAAAAGATTACTAAACTCCAGTATCCTAAAAATAAAATCCATCTTTATATTTTCTGTAAGGTAATAGTCATTTTAATGTCAATATTTTGTAATAGTCATTGCTAATATTAATAAACATCGATTTGGGTTCTATTTATTTATTTATTTTTTTCTATTATAGGTGGAAAGCCATTTACACATTATAAATAACTGGATTTCAGAAAATAAAGAATACTTATCAGTTAAAAAAATTGAGCCTAATGAAGGAATAGATGAACCTCTAGCAAGAAACTTAGCAATGTAAGGCAGTACTATAATAATTACTTTTAAATAAAAAATTCAAATATTGGTGGATACAATATATTAACTGACAAATGATAGTAATTTTTTTAATAAATTTTATATTACTCATCACTATTATGACTTTAATAGTAACAAGTGAATCAATCTTCTACCATTAACTTAAATGTTTATTCTAAGCTGTGCTGGGGAAGGTGGCAATTTTCATTCTAACCTGACTATTGAAATCATACAAAATTAGTTTAATTTATCACATGTTTGATCATAAATTTGTATAGATTTTAATAACGTCATCATGGTTGATGTGAGAGTATGCATGAATGAAAATAATATTAGGAACTATATTACATAATAGTATTTTATATATCTACCGCACCCTGACTAACTTCTTCTTAAATTAGGACATATGATCCACCATATCCACTGCATTGAGAAGAATATTGATTGATTTTATATTGAATCTGAGTTAATATATTTTTTCCTAACTGGCTGAAAGTATTTTACTACAGCTGTTAATTTGCTTGTTGAGATCCAAAATGAAATTTTGAAATTCATGTACGTTTTGATTATCACAGTAGTATAGTCCATTTATTTCTTCAAGAAATCCCAGCCCATTCAGTAGTGAGAGGTTTAAAAAGTTTCTATTTTTTTTATGAAAACTTCTATTAGACCGGATCACTTGTGAGAGCTCTGCTACTTTGTCACCTTCATTTGCTTCAGTTCATTATTACATGTAGAGGCATAGCAAGGAACTGATTAATATGTGCTCTTGTTCATTATTATTGGTTATAAACATTAATGGGACTGAGCTATTAATAAATTATGATTTGTTTTATTTATGTTTGTGTATTATTTTTATTGATATAATTTATTTAGTAAATAAATAACTATTTTTTAAAATATGTTTCATGAGTTTATAGATGTAAGAATTCATTTTCTGATTTAAAAGAATGTTAAATTAAAAAATTTATAAATTCCTAGTACATGATCTAATTTTTTCTCTGACCAAAGCCTTTACTCATCACAAACTTCTCTCATTGCCTTAATTTCAAATTAAAACATTTGTGCTTCCGTTTCATTCCTAAAGGATTACTTATTTCTATTCCACTTCCCTTAGGGAGGAAGGGATGCCTCCTTTTCAAATCCAGGAAAATTACATAGTTCTATTGCTGTATAAATATTACTGTCAGTAATCTATAAGTGTACTTATAATTTATATTATATTGGTGTTGTCAACTTATATTTATCACTGTAATTGTACTCTAAACCCGGGAAGGGGAAAGTGTCTAATTGATGAGTCTATATCTTCAAAAAAAAGTTTCGTTTTTATTTATATCAACTGATTAATATTATTTTATTGTTATTTTTAGAGAAAGATGTAAAATAAAGAATTGTAAGTTCTTCTTCTCTGTTGATTCTGTTGTACATCTTGATGATCCTACAGTCTTGCAATGGCTGATTCAAGAACAAAAGTGAGATTTTTAGTTTTAATTTTATTCGTTTGATTCATTAAGACCAATGATTTTATTAAATTTAAAAATGAAAACAATGACGTTTATATTACTACCTTTCTAATTTTAGAGGTGTTATCGGACCGATGCTTTTAAGGCCTTACAAATCTTGGTCCAATTTCTGGGGTTCATTAAGTAACGAAGGATATTATGCTCGATCATTTGACTACATGGACATTATCAATAACGATAAAAGGTAAGAGTGACAATATCTTATGAATGTGTCTGTAAGATCTTCAAGTTTGTTAATTCTTTTTTTCTTAATTGAATCGGATATTTCAGGATTTGAGTTGAGAATATTTCTAGATACATTGTTCATAGGTACATATATTATTCAGTTAACAAAACACATAGCAAACTAATGTAGAAATTTTTAGCTTACATCGTTTTATTTTTATCTTTTCAAGTTTAGATAAAATATTTCTTTTTTTGTTTTGTTTTTCCGAAATCATGAAAATATTTGTGTGACTGAAATATTTGATTCAATTGAATATAATTCAGTATTATCTTATATTTACATACTTCACTTCATGATGAACATTGTTATTAGGTATTTTTATTTAATAAGACTAATAAGAAAGAGACTAAATAAGTAATAGTAGAAAAAAGGCCTTTTACGTCTCAATAATTAAAATACTTTATTTTAAATTTATCCAAATTTTCGTCTTTTAAGGCATCTTCAGGGATAAAATCTGATTTTACTTTTAATCTGATATTTTAATGACAATGTTGTAATGAATTTTATAGATGGGCTAATGTTTACTAGTAAATCCTCTGAAAGAATTTTTGTATATATTTTTTCATATGAAAATTCACAATATATTGTGTAATAAGATTTTATCCCTGAAGAAGTGAAAATTTGGATAAATTTAAAATAAAGTATTTTAATTATTGAGACTAAAAAAAGCCTTTTTTCTACTGTTAGTTTTATTTATTATTCAGTTTATTGTTGCTGTTTTACCAAATTTCATTTATTTTTTTGCAGAGGAGTATGGAATATTCCTTATTTAACAAGTTGTTACTTGATAAATAGTACACTTCTCCCATTGTTGAGTGGCGCTTATGAAAATGGAAAGTTGGATCCTGACATGGCTTTTTGCCAAACTTTGCGTGATAAGGTAAAGAAACATGGCTGCGCTATATTTGATGAGATATGTCTCAAAGAGATGAAATGCATTTGCAGCAGGTTTTATTGCCATTGATAAGCTCTTATAAAAAAGATTTCTATTATAAAAATCAGTTCGTGTGATAGTAATATTATTGAAATTTATTTTTTCGTGCTTTGGAAGAATGGTTTAAAGTTTCATTCTATAAATAATTGTTAAAAAAAAATATTAGTTGAATTATCAAAATAAATTAATTTTATTAATATTGATGTAACATTCATTTATTCTTGGAATGGGCTCTCAGAGGATTTCCTTTTTAATATTCAATACTACAATATTCTAATGAATTAACAGCATATGTTATATCAGAAAATATTAGGCCTCTTATATCTTTCACTCTTATATTGACTCTTATAGACTATTACTTTCCTACCGCTACTAGGTAATGAAAGTATTGATATCGGATCAAATTTCTGATATGCAGTTTTCAACTGATTTTTACTAATGGCCTTATTTAATGTTGTATGAATTTGTCTAAAGTCGGTAGGAAATTTGTGTGAATGGACACACCATATTTTTTATTAATTATATTTTATTCTTATATTAAAACACAAGTGATTAAGATACTGTATCAACAATTTTAGTTCATTTTTTATAACTATAGTAATGTTTTAGCAATAATTATAGTCACTGTTTCTAAATACTTACAACTACTTCATAATAATGGTAATATAATCAGTCGTAAAGAGACTAAAATAGTGGAAAAACTATTTTATTTGAAGCCAACATTTCAACCTGACTTTACAGGTCTTCTTCAGGGAGATGCATTCAGCAAGGAGTTTCAGTTAAAACTTTTGAGTTTTGTTAAAAGTTTAAGTTTTAACTGACACTCCTTGTTGAATGCATCTCCCTGAAGAAGACTTGCAAAGTCTGGTCAAAACGTTGGCTTCAAATAAAATAGTTTTTCCACTATTTTAGTCTTTTTATGACCGCCACCCCGGACCATCTTCTTTCTCTATAATATGCAATAGTCAACCATTAAGTTTTCTTTATTTTATTTTATTTAGTTTAGTATAATGTTTTTTTTTTTTTTTTTTTAATTTGTTATATTTCTCCACAGGAAGTTTTTATGTTTGTTGATAACCGCATCGATGTTGGCCACTTAATAAACCCTGAAGATTTCGATCCCACTAAAGTGAATCCTGAAATGTATGAAATTTTCACCAATAAATATGACTGGGAGCAAAGGTGAGATACCATTTCACCCATATAAAATATTCTTAAAATTGTTGTGAGGCCAAAATATACCTCCATAGGACAAAAATCAAAACAGTTTCTTTTTATCTGTACCTTATTAGTTCCTATGAATTTTATTTAAGAAATATTTTCCAACTTGTCAAATGTAACTGAGATTAAGTTTGTGAAGAAATGTTTGATTTGTTATATGACTATTTTGCCACTTTGTATTTTAAAAATATTATCTTTCTATCAGAAGTACCCTCATATAGTCTTTTTGGCATCCCGTTTTTTTTTCTATTCTCCTTAAATGGCCAAACCACTTTAATCTCTGGATTCCGATGCTGACCAAGATATTTAGGTTCTTGTATGTATTATTCAGATCCCTATTTTTCCTTAGCTGCCATATTTCATCTTCACAAATTGGATGTTCCTTAGTATTCTTCTTTCAAACTGTTCCAATAGGTCACTGATCTGTTTATTCATAATCCAGGTTTTCACGGGCCTAGGTTATCATACCACCAGTCTAATTAATGGTTTGTATTTCCTGAACTTAATAATATTACTGGCCAGCTTATTCCTCAGTATCTTGGACATGCCGAAATACACTCTTGTTCTCCAGCATAATCTTTTTCTTCACTTCTTCTTCCTCCTCCAGTTGTTTATTAATTATAGATCCTAGGTACTGGGCTGCTTACTACTTCAAAACCATGGTTTCCCATGAAGTAATTTCTTTGAGGTTGGGCTTGCTTCTTTCTTCTGAGAACCATTAGCTTAGTTTTCTCTTCATTGATTTCCAATCCTATTCTGCTTGCTGCAATTTCAATTTTTCCAACTGCACCCTCAAGTGTTCTTTATAAAAATTGATAAGAAGTGAATTACCGTTTGTATGACAATTATTTGTTTTAAATGAATAATCATTTATAATTTTTACTTTCACTTCCTATTTATGAGAATACCTATTTCTACTCAAGACAAAGTGGTAAACGAAAATTATTAGTCTGTGGGCCAGACCCTCCTACCAGGCAACCCTCTCCCCACAGCCCTATAAATTGCTTATCATTGTATTCCTTGTAACTATTTATTTGAAAAAAAAGCCAATGTTCCCACAAAAAAAAGTGAACATACTGCTCCAAAATAGCAAACTGACGACTTTAACTTGAGTTAGTTATTTGGTCACTGAGAATCAACATTTGGCTTAATTTCGTCATAATTGGCTTTTTATTAAAGCTGGATAGTGAATGAAAAAATGTTGAAAGTTGAAAATCAAACATAGTTTGTAATTAAACGGCCAACAATAGCGGAAAAAGTTCTGAAATAAAACATCTGGAGAATATATTTCTCTTTCTAAAACACTAAAAGCATTTTAAAATATTTAAAGCAGTTTCGTAGAAAATGCACTTGATCAGCAGAAAAGCAGTACTGTTTTAAGTGCCTACAGTCCTCTGCCACATCATTCAGTACTCAAAAATGGCATAGTTATAGTGTTATAATAATGTTTTTGGTTCGTTGTATTGATTGTATTAACGAACAAATATTAATGCAATAATTTAATTGTTCAAAAAATAAAACTTTTTTTTTTAGTACTCCCTTTATTCTATATAGAGGTCGTTTAAGAAGTCTATTGTAAAAATGATATAATTATAATAATAAAACTTAATTCAAAAATACTTCGCTGAATATCTTGAATTCTTTATTTAATGTTTGCAATTTAACACTTTGTTTTGTATATATATATTTTTTTATTTAAAACAAAAAAACTAACTCAAGTTAAAGTCCATGAATCCACTATGTTTGGTCACCATTTTGGGGCAGTGTGTTCACTTTTTTTTGTGGGAACATTGTCTTTTTTTAATAAATAGTTACAAGGAACACAATAATATGCAATTTATAGGGATGTGGAGGAGGAGGTCTAGCTCACTCTGTATGTGTGATGTTCACGTGATGAGGAAAATGTGGTAATTACTTAGGATCCTTAAGTAACTATGGAAATAAGATGGATTATATTATATATTATGTATAAGGCACTAAGATATCTGAAAATTATTTTATTATGGCTTAGGTTTTTTTCCTCTCATCTTCAAATGTATAACCACTGTTAACTAATAGTAAATTTTTTTTCAGGTATATTCATCCTAATTTCAGTATGTCCCTTCGTGAAGATGTCACTCCTATACAGGTATTTTTTACTTTAATTTTATGATAACTATTTATTCATTGTGCTTTGATTTTGTTTATAATAAATAATGCTGACATCAGCTTAAATCATTTACAGTAATTCATTTAAAGAAATTCATATACAGTAGCTTAATTCTCCTGAAAATCTTTTTTTTTTTTGATAATTTATATCAAGATATTCATTTTATAACAAAATATGAATCATCCTATATAAATAAACCTTTATACTGTCAGTGAAGTATGTATATATTTTATTAATTTTTTTAATTTGGTTATTTTCAACTATTTGTTTTTATCCTTAACTCAAAGTTTCAAAATTGGATTTAATTCCTTATTGCTGTAAACTCTTAATAATTAATTCATTATACTGAGTGTTTCAGGGTTAAGTGGCCAAACTGCAAAAATGAACTAAGGACCTCAAAACAAGAAAAAAATTTCCTCTGAAGGTATGTCCGCAAACTCTTTGTTTAGGAGATATTCACACCTAAAGATTTTCGTTGTTATGAATTATTTATGTTATATGAAATAAATAAAACCTATTTGTTCTAACTACTTTATTAATTAAATGTAAATATTAACATTCATATGTTAAAGAGCTAAATTAACAGTTAAATGTTAATTATCCCAATCAATGGATTGGTCTTCCAGGACCAGTGACTTGACCTGGACACTCTTAAGACCTGACACTACTGGATTTGTTTGTTTGGGGTGACATTAAACAAAAAGTCTATGCAAGTCTGGTCAATGACCTTAATTCCTTACGCAGAAGGATAATTGAATCTTGTGAAACAATAACACATATCCAGTGTCGTTCTGCCACTGCTGCTGTTGAAGAAAGATGCCGAGCCTGTCTTAATGCTCAAGGAAATTACTTTGAACAACGTTTCGTATGAATTTAATGTTTATCTTTAATTAATAAAGTAGTTGGAACAAATAAATAGGTTTAATTTATTTCATAGAATCTAAAAAATTCACAAGGAAAATCTTTAGGTGTGAATGTCTCTTAAACAAAGCATTTGCGGACATACCTTCAGAGGAAATTAGTTTCTTGTTTTGAAGTCCTTGTTTTGCAGTTCGGCCATTTAACCCTGAAACACACCCTATAAGTAATGAAATTAAATAAATTTTTGATTTTTTTTTTAGCCTTGTCCTGATGTGTATTGGTTCCCTATAGTTACTCCACGTTTTTGTAAAGAATTGATACAAATGGTTGAAAGCTATGGTAAATGGTCTTCTGGAAGCAATCAAGTAAGTTGTGTTTCTTTAACTTTATATATATTTATATTTCTTTTTTTATTTTATTTTAAGTTACGACAAACCTAATGTTTGATCTTAAAACAGGATGAGCGTTTAGCAGGAGGTTATGAAAATGTTCCTACAAGAGATATCCATATGAAGCAAATAGATTATGAGAGACATTGGTTATATTTTCTTCAACAATATGTGAGACTGCTTCAGGAAAGAGTGTTTATTGGCTATTTTCATGATGTAAGTGTGTTTTGTGACTTCATAATAATAATTAAACCTTTTGTTTTATAACTCAATAATTTATGTCGTTAAGGCTAAAGAAACTGAAAAAAACAAAACAGAAAAAAAAATCTGTGCTGTGACAAATAACTCATGGAAGCTTCTAAGTTCAGTACTTAGTAAGGAAGTACTGTCATGTAAGGAGGAGATTTGACTGTGATCAACAAGATCATCCACCAACTGTTTCCCTCAATTAAGAGTACCCACTTTATAGAAGTTAAGTGTGCCACAGAAGGTCTCCAGACCCGTTTTCTTTTGTTGAATTATTCCCTTTTTCACTGCCAGACCTATTTAAGTTGTAAAAATTCAATAACTCCCCAAAAAAAAAACTGTTTTGTTGCTTACTGAATGTGGAGGTGGCATATTTTCTGAAAACATGGATTTTTGTTGATGTTCCTTGTAACTGCATCACTTCTAACTTGTAATGCTTGCTGAAGTAAGCAGCTATTTTTGACTCATTAGTGAGCACTACTTGTTCTTTTTTGATGGGGTTATTCTTATTGTGTACTTTTGCCCTGGTCATTGTCTTTAAATGGCATGTTTTGGTTATCTATGAAATTATTATGTATTATACATCCACATTTTATTAAATTTAGTGAGCAAAATTGACATTAGTGTATTGTAATACTTATAAATGCAATATTTTTCTGTTATATGAAATTTTGGTAGTGGGTTGTTCTATGTAGTGATAATTCCTAATGAAAATGTATAAATAATTGTTATATAAATATCTTTTCAGCCCCCACAGGCTTTGATGAACTTTGTTGTACGCTATCGACCTGATGAGCAGCCATCTTTAAGGCCTCATCATGATTCGAGCACTTACACTGTAAATATAGCACTTAACAGGAGAGGTATTGATTATGAGGTAAGTTTAAAAATAACGTAATTTTAATTTCTTTTTTAACATTTTGAATGTTGAACATTACAAATGACTCATTTATTGTATTTTAGTAAATATTAACTAACTCTAACTCTGATGGTACTATTGTCCATGAAGGGCCTTGGTCTCTTCAACAATTCTCCTCCAGTCGGAGCGATCCTCTGCAACTTTCTTAATTCTGTCATTCCCAGAAGCAAAAATTAGGTCAGTATGACAACTTCTGACCATCGCTGCCTGGGTCTACCTCTTCCTCTTTTGCCATCCAGGAGTCCCTCTATTACCTTCCTTGGGAATCTTTCCTGATCCATTCGATGTACATGTCCCAACCATCTTATCCTACCTTTCTTAACACACGAAACCGAATCTGGGTCTTCATACAGATCCTTTAACTCCTTGTTAGTTTTTATTCTATATACATTTTTGATTTTGGTTGGGCCATATATTTATCTCAGGATTTTTCTCTCCCCTATATTGGAGAAACTCTCCAGTCGCTTCGTAAGGATCCATGCCTCAGTGGCATACATAACTACTGGTCAGTATAATATATTCTTTCTTTGATTCCTCAGGTTATGATTTATAAGAATTTGACTGAGTATATTAATTATTAATTAAGAGTTTGTACATATTTTCCCTCTTTTATACCATTAAAATTTGAATTCTTATATTCTATTTTAATTCTTACATTAAGTAAAAATTAATAAAATTGTCAAGCAGTCTTAAAACCTGAGTTAAAACTTGAGTTTGATTATTTAGCTTAAACTTGAGTTAAAATATTTGATAGAATCATAGCTTTATTCACATGTGATTCTGAAATATTTCATTCACAATAAGCTGTGTATAACCTCCACCTACCACCAAATAGTTGTTGCCTTTTGTAGTTTTAGTGTTAAACCCGATATCTTTAGATATGTTTTAAACTAATATTATCTAACAATTTTTATATTTATGATTTTCATATCTTATTTGATCCTAGTATTTCTTTTCATATCATATGTACTTTGAAAAAGTTTTTCATAGTTAAGGATGGATGGTGGCGGATTAGCCCTTCTTGCATGGAGCACCTTTTATGGTTAGTGTTACTGGTAGGATAGAAACTTTATTTTTTTAAATATGTGAACAAAGTAGATTTTTAAAGAATATTTTAAGAACAAAACTTCATTGACTGAATCAGTTGTGGTAAGAGGAATGTCAGTGAAAGTATTTCCTTATATATGGAGAAAATACTGTGATGGTTTCTGTTTATATAGAATGTTCCTACTTACCTACTATTGTGAAATGGACAGTTTATACTTATTGTAATTTTTAGGGAGGAGGTTGCAGATTTCTTCGCTATAATTGCAGTATCACTGATACCAAAGTCGGCTGGTTATTATTACATCCTGGCCGTCTGACACATTATCATGAAGGCCTGCTTGTTTCAAACGGAACACGTTATATCATGGTTTCTTTTGTTGATCCATGATTATCCATTTGGTAATTTATTACTCAGTATTTATATTCATTACTTCAAGCATTCTCTGATCAGGTATATTAATAAGTTATTGCAAAAATCGAAGGAAATTTATTTGAAGTTAATACTCATTCTTTAATCATTAGTTCATTTGTTCAAATTTTTGGATCTCTTATGCATCATTTTTTAACTAAATTTTAACTTTTTGTATAACATGTATGACAGTAAATTGGCAGAAACTATTGATATTGCTCAGTTACCCATTTGGTTTACCTAAATAATAAAATTGGGCTGTCCAGCAAGGTTCTGAAGCTTTGATGGGTTGGATAGATGCATTGAGTGCAGATCAATTTAATGGTAGTGGGCATCTTTTGAAATATGCCATCTTGTCGACTTATTGAAGGAGGATTTTAGCTCAGGAGCAGATAGTTTGGTACTGAGAAAGTTCTCTTCCTTTTGCTTGTTAGATATAGTTAGCCTCTTATAAATATTCCAAGTTTTTAAAGTGAAAGGAGGTTAATTATTTAACTGAGAATATTTATGTTTTAGAAGTTGACATATCCGAAGAGGGGAGTCTCTGGTCTGGCCCTAGGATCGAACCATGGCTAATGCAATATAAATTAAATGCGATAGCTCGATTCGAAATGAGGACTAAGAGTATAAGATTACAGTACCTTACTCACTGAGCTATCACATTCCATTTTGTCACTATTTTGCAAATTTCCTTCAACTTTGAACCAAATCTAATGAACCAATTTTCTAAATCTAGGTGTATCAAGGAAAATAAATTTACGTATCCATTACAAAAGTATTGGAGGATAGAATTTGATGAAATTAAGACAGCATAATTTTTTATACTAATCCCAACTTCCCTCCAATTTTGAGTCAAATTGAATGAGCTATTTTTGTAAAATTTAGATATATGTCAGAAAATACATGTACATATGGGCGTATGGATGGGTTGCTGAAAAATAATTTAAATTAATGAACATAAAAAACAAAAAATTTCATGTAATAATATTTAAGGAGGATTAAAGTAGAAAGATCAGGAAGAGATTGACGAAATCATAAAGCAGTTTGTTTGCATTATTCTTGCGCCCACATCCAATACATTGGTATGTCAAATGTGAATTTGCTAAACTATTCACCATGCATGGTGAAATTTCATTGGTTTACTAGCTGTAGGCTGATTGATTGTATTCAGGAAGGTGCAGTGGATAGTAGCTTCAATACGACCTTTAATAGCATGGAGATATTCTGTAGCCAATAGTCAAAACCTCAGAGTAATTCCTTTCTTTCAAAAGTGTGATTTATATAAATTTATGAATAATATATTACCTTGGTTATGATTATAACTTAACTAGGTAATGTAATTTCACTTGAAAAATACATTTCTGTTAACAATATTAATATGATTGCAAAAGAATTATTAACTACACTTGCATGTGTTTGAGCTTGGCCTAACTAAGGAATCTTCTCTTATATTATATTAACATTTTTTTAATATATGAGTAATGTTACGAGATAAGTGGTACTGTAACCATTCAGTTAACAGAACTCTGTACAACATTGTGTAACCTCTCATTTCTAATTACCTTTTTATATCACATGGTGATATATTATCACTGATGCAGTTAATAATTAGGCCGGAGATAGTAATGCTGCAAAAAATGTATATATATATCATTAATAGTAGCACTAAAATCTGGGAGGCATACTTAATATTAAATTTTATCTTGTGTCTTTTTACAAACACTATCCTCCAGGTTGTGGTATTTTCTACAATCTCAGTTATGGGTTTCATTGTTGGATTATTGAGATTGTCATTATTGAGCTATGTTTAAATTTTTAAGCTACTTATAGTCTGGTTTGGTAATTCTTTTTTTTTTTTTTTTTCCAGATGGAGGCCATAATTTTTACAAATGATGTTCCTTATTTTTTATTATATTGTTTATATTACCATTTTTTTTTAACCCATCGATGGTATTTAAAATATTTATAGATATCTGAAACTAGTGACATTTGTTGATATTTATTTATTGATATTAATAAGTAATTTAAATTTGCTTGTTAGATGTTATATTCCAAGTCAGTATAAAATTTCATTACTGATAGATGATTGGTTAGGAATTTTTTGTACTTTGCCAAAGATACCATTAATGATATCATAAAGTATTTTATTAACACTTATGTAAATGATCAAAATGTTTAACATTTAAGTTTTAATTACATTAATGTTTTAAATGTAATGAATGATTATCAGTTTCCAATGGTAATTTTTATGTAATCGATATGTGTAATAAATGTTTTATATACGTTTTTAAATATCTGTTGTGAGTAATGTGTTTTTACAATCTATTTACTCAAAATCCATTTATTATTACGTGAACACCTACAGGTTCATTACATATATATATATATATGTGTGTGTGTGTATACATATGAACACATACGTATATACCCATTGAAACTTCCCGCTCTGGACACTTCCAATAGCAGGCAATTTTATAATCTCCATTGTTGGAGATTATAAAAACTAGGTGCCAGCCTTGGAGATGTGGTGCCCTCTGGCAGTGACGTCCTATCACCAAAAATATTTTAATTTATTCATTAAGTCTTTTAAATTATTTAATATTTGAATTGTATTTCATTCAATGTTTCTCTGATTAAGATAATTTAGTAAATAGAATAAACAAATTTATCATACATTAATCCACAAACTTAACTAAAAAGTAATAGAATAGAAATAAACTTTATTCTGGGACGAGATCCCTTATGAATAACAATTATGAACAAAAAATAAAAATTGCATTAATCAAAATTAAAGGATATATATACAGTATCTTCAGTGAAAGTATATTATAACAAATAAAATGTAACACCATTTTGAAAAAGAAAAAAATTATTTAAATGAAAAGAAAGACAGAAATCAGGTAAAATAAAAAATAAAATATTATAAGCACTATGGGTTGATTTTTTAAATTAACTCAAAAACAATTTCAACAACCATTCACCTCAGTCAAAATTTGATTCATAATATTTATTTCATTTTACAACGTCATTTTGGGATGTGAGAAGGAATTGGTAGAGATTATATTTGAATGAGGACAAGTAAGAGGCATTGTGGATATCAGATTGCAAGGAATTCCAGAATACAGTGGATCGGGCTATAAAGGAATATTTAAATGTCTTAGTTCTGGGGGAAGGGATATAAAGGTCGGAAACACGGGATCTTGTTTTCTGGGTGTGGACCACGGGTTTGAACCGTAGGAGACTGTAAATTATATATATGTATACAATTATAGAGAAAAAACTACAATAAAATACAAACATTAATAAAACTGTATTCATCGAACTTAACAAATTAAGTATAAAAATAATTATTTCAAATTTAACAATAAATATTTTAAACAACAATAAACGAATAAGAACAAAAAAATATGGATAAAACATATTTACTAAACTAAAAATGAGGATTGCGACAGCTACTCTAATTGTTGAGTAATGGTAATTAAAAAAATCAAATTTACAATTGAGAAATCTATCAATAATATAGTTATATTTTTAGATATCAGAATATTACAAAACAGTAATAGAATAAAACACAATGGACAAGAAAAAATATGCAGCACATGGCACAAAATGTTTTATATTATAAGAAAATATAAATACGGCAAAGAATTTAAAAAATATATATTTCAGTAATAAAACTGAAAAATAGAAGAAAATAATTCATAAAAATAAGACTCTACAACTAACAGAAAGCAAATATTTGAAATAAATGAAAAATAGTATATACAAAATATTAAGTACTTTTTACTTTCTAAAAATGGATAATGAATTATGGTATAAATGAAATTAAAAATTAGAGTAAAAATAATAAAAACAAAAAGGATTAATTACAAATTATTAATTGAAAACAAATAATGAGAAAAAGGAAAATATAAAAAATAAAGAAAATAGGTAATAAAGGAAGAAGAAAATGTTGCAATGGTCTAGCTATCGAGAAAATGACTGCTGTGCTACCAGGACTAGGAGTGTGTTGTGTGCTTCTTGAAGGAGTAGGTAGTGAATTGGCATAAAAAAAGATATAAGATATATTTGGTTGTAGTTCATTAATCTTCAGAAAAAATAATTGTGAATCCATATGTGGCCAGAGTTATCTTCTTCTGGAACTATTTTTTTCTCTCTTTCAATAACAAGTTGTTATTAAATGTTTCCTTTAAATCTTTTATCAGTATTTCATGTTTTGCAGACAATTCCTCTCATAAAGATAATCAGGATCTTCTAGATCCCATGAAGTTCTTTCATGGAAATCCTCAATCAGAGAATTTATTTTTTCTTTGTCACTGGACATGTCAACAGGTTGAACTAATTGCCAATGGGTTGCTTGAACAGAAGGAAACAAAGGTAATGGCCGTAAGAGCACTGTGGCATTCCTTCCAGTGTAAAGCCGGCCTAACTCAAAAACAGTGTAAAATCCTAATGCTCTACAGTCTATTACTTTCATGAAGATGAAGTCTTATTAAGTGTTACTCATTATAAACACCTTTTATTTCTGCAAACACCCATATGTATTAGGTATGGTAGGTTAGAAAATAAAACTCATATTATACGAAATGAATAGCCATGCTTATAGATAGCTATTAAGATATTGGTAATGATAATAATAAAAAAGGCTTAATGAAGCCGAAGGTCCGATGCCAATATCACCAATAACTCAACATTCTTCCATTGACTGGTCTCCAACCAAAGCCAACCCACCCAGATCAGGGCTTAACAATCCTCTCACCTTCATTTCGGTCTAACCTTCGCATACTTACCAGTCAGCATAGGTCATGTTAATTTTTTTTAGGATTCTTTTGCTACTAAGCCATATTTTACATGCCCATTTTATTTGCTTCAATGTAATCACCTCAATTCTACTAACTGGCTATTGTACATGCAATTTGGCGTTGTGTAACAGTCTGAATGGTCTGGTTGACTCATCCCTCTTCGGTCTGAATATTCTATGCAATACTTAATTTAACCTTAAGATGTTGTTCATCTCTTAATGTAAGCAGCCACTTATTACAACCATTAATAACCGTAGATAGGATAATAGTACCAATACAATAATAATAATAATACAACCATGCTAAAATAATAATAATACAGTCATACAAAAACATACCAAACAAATATGATTGTACATTCAAAATACTATAGTTCATCTTGTAGTAATGTGTTCTTAGAACTGTGTCATAATAACATTATCCAAGAACTTTTCATTTAATCATATCTTATGTTGTAATTCTGCAGTTATATTAGAAAGTATTTCTTTATCAACTACGAATTACTTACATAATTTTTACTAAAAAAATTTAAAAAATACAGATATATATTATATCAGTTCTATGTTCAGTGATATTTTAATAATATTTGTATTGTTTTCATTTGTTTTCGGGAAGGATCAGATGAACTTCACATTGGGTTCTATACCATTTGTACCATTCTAAAAAATGCCTATGCATCCTCAAGAAGAGCCAAGTAAAGTAGAACACATCGAGAAAACTGACTGCTCCCATTATAAAAAATGTTGTAAGTTGACCAGTTGCTTGCATTATTTCCTGAAACAGATTAAGCTTTTTTCGATCATAATTGGCCAATAAATATATATTATATTTAGAATTATTTTTCTTGATTCTATTTAAGAAGAACATTACAAAAGGAATTTGGAAATATTATGTCATTTACTATTTATAATCATATGCTGTCTGCTACATTTATCAGAAAGTAAGGATAGGAAATAGATAAGATACATAGTAAAAAATAAAATAGAAAGAAAACTATATTACATTGAACACTAAATTTGGCAGGAAGATTGGAATATAAAAATCAGTCGTATCTATCACATCCAAGTGAAATATCTCAAGAAGAGTTATTGATTGATGGTTTGCCAGTAAAATTAGTGGAAAAGCTGTTAAGAACCCAATGCTGTCTGAAATCATTAATAATCTTTCTCTTCTAGATTCTTCTATGGTTAACCAAACTATTAATGCTTGGAAAATGTTATACCTGAAATCAAAATTAAATTATATCTTTCTTTTAAATAAAGCATTATGTGTTTATTGGAGGAAAAAATTGATATTTGGAAAATTATTTTGAAATCATTTAAAGCAAATGTTAAGCGCACTGCACAACCAATAGATTAAATGAAATTTGTTATAAACATTTTATGTCACAATTTCTAACATGTGACGAGCGCCCCTGAAGATCGGCCGGTGCTCGGTATGAATATTCTTTATGGGATCTTCTTCTTTTTCTTCAATCAATTTGCCTTTCAGCGCGTGGGTGCTTCAAACTGTTGGTGACATCCGTTTTTGTCTCTGGCATAGAGATTCCATATCCGAGGCTGTTTGCATAATATCGGAGAGTCCATATCGGAGGCCCTGTTACCTCAGAACAACTGGTTTCTAGTTATACTTCTGGAGAGGTGATTACATTCTTCCCAGGAGAGGTGTGTACTGAACTCAGGAGACATGGCGATCGTTAATCCCCACTAATAGAGCATATCTACTAGCCCTTATAGGATGTTATGGGATCGTGGGTCATTAAAACAAAAACAGTCAAGATTCGATGCTTCTCTAATGGATACAACTGGCGAATCAACCCAAGCCAAACATGCTCAAGCTATTCATGGTCTGAACAAGTATTGCTACCTTTACTGTTATATTTATTTATACTTCACACATTATTTAAATTAATAAAATACACATAACATAAACATACACACACAAATAACAATTAATAAATAAGAGATGATAAAGTTTAAAGATGATCAAATTGCCTCAGAACTGGCCGGTCTACTGGTAACAGACACTGCATGGATAAGGATATAGGACTAGGTATATGGAATATCCAGACCCTTTCTGGTAAAGAGATCGAACTTGTTGGTGAAATCAATAATTAAAAAGTGGACATTATATGCCTCAGTGAAACTAAGAAGAAGAGAAATGGTTATAAGACTGGTTAATGGATTTATGATGATCTATTCTGGAGTGTTAAAGGTGGAGTGGCGTTTGCTATGAAGGATGAACTGTTTGACATGATGGGAAGCTGTATCACTATGCATCATATTAGCCAATACCAACTCGCTGTTGGTAAAAAAAACCTCAATCATCCAGGTTTATACTCCTATGAAAGACTCACTGGATGCTGACAAAAACCAGTTTTATGAAGACCTGCGGGTCTTTTTTTTTTTTTTCTTGTTCTTCCCTACCCCGGATTTTCCCGGGCCAGAGGGTGAGGGCAGGGAATTTAAAATCCCCAGCACCGGGACATGAACTCCTTTTTTTTGTATTCTCATACTTTGGTTATCTGGTTTCGCGGCGTTGTGCGTTGTGCACACGCGTTAGCCCATCGTCCTCTCTGCCACCAACCTACAGAGGTCTGTTAACAAAGGCCGCGTTGAGAACAGAGTGGTTGTTATCTGTGGAGATTTAAATGCTGGGACAGGCCAGAACTCCATCAACTCCCATGGAGTAATAGGTCTATGGGGCGGTGAAGAAGTTAAAAATGATAATAGATTGATAGGATTCTGCGTAGGGAATGATATGCTTATTGGGAATTCTCACTTCAGACATAAGTTAATCCATAAAATTACTTTTGAAGCAGAAGGAAGGCAAGCAGAAGCATAATAGATGACATTATCTATGACAGAGGAATGCTTAGATATTTCAGATGTAAAAACAATTACAGGGGCAGAGTTAGGGACCGATCATCGCCTGGTTGTTGCTGATACCAAAATTACTAAGCCACGAAAGAGACACTTCAAAGCATATGAACTAATTGCGCCTGAAAAGTTCAAAGATCCACTAGTGATTAAAAGATATAGAGAAGTACTAATTGTTGGGATGAATACGTCAGATTGAGAAACATGGCCAACCACATTGTCAGGGAAGCCAAGGCAAGATCTTGGGAGGAATTTGGAAAGGATAAAAAAAAAAAAAAAAATGGTATAAATTGTTGTATAGATTCCTCTCTCACATCTTTATGGCTCAGGAGCAGGCATCTATCGTAAAGATAATAATAACAAATTCTCAATTTCCTTTGGCATATATGCTTCAGTATTTCAATCTGTCAGGCAGGAATGGGTACTCTAAATAGTTACTGTATGCATTCACAGGTTGTTAAAGATTGCTGCACAGCGCTTAACAAGGTTGCCATTGAGTGGGTGCCTGGTCACTCGGGCATCCTTGGTAACGAAGAGCTGATAAACTAGCCAGGTTGGGCTCAGGTTTAGCTCCCATAACTCCTGAACCTGTCTGTGGAATCAGTCTTAGCGCTGCCAAAAGAAGGGTCAAATATGGTGAAAAATTTAAACAATACTGGTTTGAAAAGAAACAACGGCACTCGAAGCTGTTCCTTAAAGGGCCTTGTGACAAAAGAAGTAAGCTGAGTTTAGATTTTCACATGTTGGATCTCTAATTGACTAGGTATCCTCTATGTAGATTCTGTTATGAGAAGAATGAAACAGCCTTTCACATCCTTTGTTGGTGTGGAAAGTTTTCTAGGCTTTGACTTAAGCTATTTGGGGAGGACCAAGTGGACAACCCCAGATGTTGTGAGTCCCTTAGTCCTTTAAATCTATATAAAATACGTTGAAGCAACTAAATTAACGTTTTAATAGTAAAATGGACTAATAAATGGCACACAATAGATCCATATTTGACCCTTAAGGGTTGCGATGTCTTATGCCAACGGGGGAAAAAAAAAGAAAGTCTGAATTAATTATAAATGATAATTAAATAAATAAATGATCCTTAAAATTACAATCTTGATCATCAATACAAACTATATAAATATTTAATATTTGTTAGTGTTATACTTGGGTCGCCTTGTGACAGTGAACTTGAAGCCACAAACCTCACACTTTTCAGAATCACTCGTGGCTAGCCATTGCTCTAAGCAGCTTCTGTGTATTCGGCCCATTGTGCCTCGGCAGCTACAAGGAGAAATGTTTTCTTCTGAAACATTTTCTTCTTGGCAAATACGACAGAAATATCTGAAAAGAAAATTTAACCATCTCCAATGTATTTTTATGGTACTAATATACAGATTAAATTATTAAAAAAATAAATAATGAAACATTCTTGTACATATTATAAATGTAATATTGTTAAGTGAATCAAGAGGATACATTTTAATCAATGTTTTAAAGAAGTTTTAAAATGAGTGTCAATAGTAATAAATATTATATTATAGCATGGGAGGATACACGAAGCAAACAAGAGAAAAATTAAAGAACCTTAAAATTTCAAATGCCGACTGCGTAGATAGAGACACATACAGGAAAATACTGAAAAATCTCACCAATATTGGAAGAGAAAAAAAGAGGGGTACAAAATGTTCCGAAGAAAGAAAAGAAATGCAGATTATATAAAAGAAAAAAAAAATTTATAGAGAAAAGTTATAGATGTGAAACTTGTTTCAATATTTTGGAATGGCCAATTAAAAAAACCAGAACACCACTTCTTCGAAATTATAAAATTTAAAAATTGTCCATCCTTTTGGGGTAAATTTATTTGCTGAGTGATAAAGAATTTCGTCCATTGCCAAAGATGTAGATCATATAGATGTTAGCAATGAGATTATAATTGTTTTATCACCTGAATAATAAATCAATTACTGGAATGTTATAATGGCAAAAAAATTGTTTCCGTTAGTTTTCACTAATAACGCTTTAGAACCCGCCTACTTCTGTGGAAGTGAGAAGGAAATTAGGCATGGAATTAGGCAATGCGAGTTTCTTAATGCCATATTCACGCTGACCTAATTAGCAGTTAGTTTTTTGTGGAAGACAGCTTGCTTCACTACTCAGTAACCTGCGAGCAGTTCACCTTTGGGTTCAAAATAACATGATTCCCTTCCATTTGTCTTATGTAATTTAAACGGCACACTGATCAATACCCACACCTTTTATTAGTAAAATTTGTCTATTAAATTTTCATCCATTGTGGTCATTTTAGACGTGCACACATGAATAGTTTACTGTACGTTTAATACATTAGTAATTCAGATTAAATTAGTTTCCTAAAATAAGTGTTCTATTTAGATCCTGACTTCAGCATAGTTCAAATATTTTCATTTGAAAATGTTTGAAACCACTAAAAACATTTTAAAACAAAATAGTTATAAATTTGTTTTGTTTTTTTATTAACGTAATTTACAACTGTAATTTATAATAAATACAACAAGTAAATATGAACAAGTAATATGACATGTATTCTATTGACCGCCAGAAACTGTATAATAATCTAATCGAGCAGGGGATTCCTAAAAAATTAGTAAATCTAGTCAGGATGTGCTTGACGGAGACACTCAATAAAGTTAGAATCGGTAATAATCTGTCCGAAAAATTTGAGGTTCATTCGGGTTTAAAACAGGGGGATTCCCTTTCGCCTGTCCTGTTCAATTTGGCATTAGAACATACCATTAGGGAGGTAATGCGTACCGAGAAAGGGTTGGATCTGGGTGGGACAACATCCGTGCTGGGCTATGCGGATGATCTGGTAATGTTAAGCGAAGACCTTGAAACTATAAAACTAAATACGACAACGTTAATGAAAGCCGGTAAAGAACTAGGACTCGAAATAAACGTGGATAAAACAAAATATATGGTTAGCTGCAAAAATGGCAATACTACTGGTGATATCGATATAGATGGTAATATGTTTGAAAAGGTAGATAAGTTTAGGTATCTAGGTTCTACGATAACTAGAAAAAACGAAATTGAAGAAGAGATTAAGGTTAGACTGAAGGCGGGAAATGCTTGCTATTTTTCTGTGACAAAACTACTTAGTTCGCGCCCGAAACTTAAAAATTAGAATCTATAAAACAATTATCTTGCCTACAGTTCTTTATGGGTGCGAAACTTGGTCGCTTACATTAAGGGATGAGCAGCGTCTTAAGGTGTTTGAAAATAGAGTATTGCGTAGAATATTCGGACCGAAGAAGGATGAGTTAACCGGAGAGTTCAGACGGTTACACAATGCCGAATTGCGTGAACTGTATCCGGGTAATATAATTGAGGTTATTTCATCGCGGCAAATCAAATGGGCTTGTAAAGTTGTTGGGCTTAGTAACGAGAGAATTCCTAAAAGGTTAATATTTGCTGTGCTGAATGGTAAGCGTCCGAGGGGTAGACCGAAGCGAAGGTGGGAAGATTGCATTAAAGCCGATCTGAAGGGACTGGGTTTGGACGGCGAACGATGGAGGGAGGTGTGCAATAAGCGATTGGTGGTGTCGGCATCGAACCTTCGGGTTCGCTAAGCCTTTTTATTATTATTATTATTATTAATATGACATGTACAACATGAGGAGAAACTACCCATTGGTAGCACTCCAATTATATTTCTACATCTTCTTTTCAGACGCCTCAGAGGGTTATCAGGAATAGAAGAGGAAGCAAGGTTGGAAACGAGAGGGTTCGGATGGTTCAGAAGTTTATTATGAAAGGACAGGTATCTGGATTGAGCTAAATCGGAAACATATGGTACATTAAGGTCATTATGGATGATTTTATTGTGACAAAGTAGGGAGCATTAAGGATTTTACGAAGGATTTTGGATATTAGGGATTGGATACGAGAGGAATTTGATGGTTTAGTAGAGCCCCAAAGCTCGATCCCGTAAGTCCAAATAGGCCTTATTATAGTAATATATATGAGTCTTTTGTAAATAGTTGGCAGTTTAGAGTGTTTGTTTAGTAAGTGCTGGAGTAGTCGGAGACGTCGGGCAGTTTCTATTCGTTTCAGTCTGGTATGGGGGTTCCAAGTGAGTCGTTTGTCAAGGTGGAGTCCTAGGTATCGGATTTGGTCAACAGGGATAAGTGGGGTATTGTTAAAGGATACTGTAGGACAGGAAGTCATACTGTACGACAAAGAGTAAAGGTAATTTGATGGGATTTATTGGAGTTTATTTTAATCCTCCAGTTTTGACACCATTTTTCAAGACTTGTGATGTGTGATTGAAGAGTTTGGGATGCAATAGATGGATCATTATTGACTGATAGGATACCTGTGTCATCGGCATATGTGGTGATGACAGTGTTGGAATGGTTTGGGATGTCAGCTGTATAAACTGTATAAAGGATAGGACCTAGGATACTACCTTGAGGAACACTAGCAAACTTAGAAAAAAGAGTTGAAAAAGCATTGTTATGATTGACTTTGAAGAATCTGTCAGTAAGGTAGGAACGGATAATGAGGAAGTATGTAGGTGGTAGGAATTTACGGAGTTTGTACATCAGTCTGGGATGCCAGACTCTATCAAACGCCTGTTTAACGTCAGAAAGACTCCCGTGCAGTACATTCCGCGCTCCAATGCAGAGGAGACTACATCTACCACACGATGGCATTGTTGAATAAGTGGAGTGGGATGTGCGGAATCCAAATTGGTGATCTGGGATAATATGTTTAGAGTCTAGGATAGGATACAGGCATTTTAAGATGAGTTTTTCCAGGATTTTGCCCATAATGGGTAAAAGAGAAATAGGACGGTAAGAGGATGGGTGTTCTGGCGGCTCCATGGGTTAGGTATCATTTTAACAATGGATAGTTTCCAAGGGTCAGGAAAATATGTGGTTCGGAGTACAGCATTATATATATAGGTGAGGAATAGTATGGCTTTTTTAGGATCTGGGATGTGACTAGGTCATGACCAGGAGCTTTGCAGGAAGGTAATCTATGAATGATATTGGATATTTCTGAAGGATGAAATGCTTTAGGTGGAGGAGTGAGTTGGAGTGGGATATCCAATTCTGCTTCAATAAACTCAAGGTGGGTTGGATTAAGGATATCTGGGTGTGGATTAAATGTTTTGAAGAGGTGCTGAGCAAATATATGAGATTTTTCTTTGTCAGATTTGGACCAGGTTTAGGTTTCAGTAATAAGTGGGTGGTTAAAATCTTTAAATTTAAGGAGCTTTTTAGTGGTCAACCATAATGATGTGTCAGTAGTAGTAAGTTTTTCTGTCATGTTAAGTAAATTTTGAATTTTGTATTTTCTAATTTCAGCTTTTAGTTGGTTAGTTAATTTGTTGTAATATGTTTTTTGTGATGGGTATCTGGTCCTGTGCCACTTCGATCTTGCTCTGCGTTTTCCCCTTAATAAGATACGAATATGCTGTGGCAAGTTTGTCTGTTGGGAGTTGTTAATTTTATTGATAGAAGTATTATCGTTTATTTTGTCACTTATAGATGTAGTAAGTACTTCTATGGCTGTGTCAATGTCATGTTTCGTCTTAAGTGGAGTATTTAGGTCCAATTTATTTTCCAGGTCTTTCCGAAATTTGTTCCAGTTTACTCGTCCTGTAATCAGTGTAAGAGGGGATGTGGACTTAGGAGCGAAGGTTGGGTGTAATGAAAGCAGAACTGGAGAATGATCTGAGGAGAGGTCATCCAGGGATTTGATTGTGACATGGGAAGAGGAAATCTGGGAGGTGACAAATATGTCCAGGATATCAGGGCGTTTTCTGAGGGAAGTTGGCTAATAGGTAGGATTCATAGGAGAAAGGACAGAGTAACTATTGGAAGTTGAGAGAGAAGATAGTATGTTACCACGGGAGTTGGATGCTCGACAACCCCATCGTTGGTGTTTAGCATTATAGTCTCCTCCTGCAATAAAGCGCGATCCGAAGGATTGAAATAAGGATTCAAGTAATCAAGGATTCAAGTTGTAGGTAAGAGTATGACCAGGAGGACAGTATACAGCTGAGAGTGTTAAATGGAAAGGACTGGTTGAAATGACTACTGATGTTGCTTGAATAGCCTCAGGTGAAGTAGAAGGAATGAGAGAATGGGATAAGGATGCAAGAACCGGCATGGGAAGTGTTGTCGGGGTGGTCTGATCTATAAGTGATGTAGTCATGTATGTAGAAATATGAACGTTGTGTGAAGTGAGTTTTTGTCAGTAGAGCAATATCAATGTGGTAGTCATGAAGAAAAATGTCAAGTTCGTCTTGGTGGTTGTGTAGTCCATTAGCATTCCATAAAAGAACAGCTAGGGGCTTTGTACTCATCGTGAGAGATTAAAGGGAATTTCGGTAAGGATTGTTGTGAGGAGAGTAATAAGAGGTTTTTTAGTATTTTGGAGGTCCAATAGGAAGGATGAAAGAATGGCATTTATATCAGATGGATGTTGGTTGTGAAGTGAGTTTAGGGTAGGTTCTTGTGGCGGGTTAGGAGTGTTAATTAAGGGTGGCATCCGTTGTTGTATACGAGGAGGGTCTGGAATCAAAGGTGCTTGTGCGGTTTTTGTTTTCTGAACATTAGGTTGAGGGTACTGTGGCGGTAATTTTAATCTTGGGGTAGATGATGAGGGGGAATTTGCTGACGGGGAGGATGAGATTGAGGATTGGGAGTATGAGGTTTGGATTGGGATGTCCGAGGCACCTGGCGATTGGATTGCGAGGTCCGAGGGAATTAACAGCCACTTGGGCTACCTGAACGAGCACCAATTTATTACATGTTCATTTTTAATAAACTGTAACTCCATAACACCAGTGTATATGTGAACATATAAATGTTGAACTTATTGTAAAGTCACTGTTGATAAAATATTACCACAGGGTTTTTACTATTAATCACATAACAATGTAACAATCACAGAGCGACATGAAAGTTATACTGCAGATGCGGCCATGACACTTGCTACTCAGTTATAAATTTAAAAACAATATTTCATGGTATCTAAGTTGCAGGCTTAGCTTTCTGTCTGGCTGAATTTCCTTTAAACTTTTTTTTGGGCTCCAGTAATTTACTCCTTCGGTAGATTGATGGTGGGAGGATTGCGTTGAAGCTGATACAGCGATTGTGAAAAGTGATATCAGCGTTGAACCTTTGGATTCCCTAAACCTCCATTGTTATTACTAATAAACAATAAAAATAACTTACTCTTCAGCAGCAGATTTTGAAGGAAAGGAAGTTATACTGAATGAAAAGTTTTCTAGGATGAACTGGTTGGAATTGGGTTCCTCGCTGATGTCATCATGCTGACTTTCCATGCTTGTTTCATCTCTGGGTATATCAAATAGTACTTTTGAAGATTGTATTGGGGAATCATTTGCAAAGCTATCAATACTAATACCATCCGGAATAGTTCCTTTGGTTTCTAAAGCAGAGAAAGTACATAAGCTCTAGTACATGAATAAATGAAAAAAAATGTTTCTTTGATATTCACCACTTTTTTGTTTGTTGTGATCATTGTTATTTAAATCCAATATTCAAATTGAAGAAGTATGATTATGTTTGGCTATATATTGAAAAATTAATAATAATAACTTAAGACTATAAAACTTAAGTTTTACATTTATACATGAATGTTTTTATGATTTTTTTTTATTAAAGAAATAAAATAGTTTCTTACCATCCTCCACATGTGACATACTTCTTTGTCACTTTTTCCAAGAGACTCAATAGAGAATTCTGAGTTTGTAGTATCCTTGAATTTCATCATAGCCAATACTCAATAAAACTAGCTTTCTTTATTGTTACTGGAATAAAAAGTATGTGTTAACACAATAATGCCGTAAAAATTGGAATAGCATCCTTGCTAAATTAGGATTAATTCATGCACCTAATGTAAATGGCATGACAAACTATGTGGTCCATCCCTTTGACACCAGGCATTAAATTTCCTAGGAAATCTCAGAATTATAATTTTTATTATTACTTGTAGATCCTTAGAAGTTACAGTTGCCAGCCTGGTGAAGCTGTAGAATTCTGTTAAAAATGATTTGAGTTAATGTTACTGAAGTAAATCCACAGTTAAATTTTTAAGAGTAGAAAGGATCAGTTTTACTAATTTTAGATATTCTGAGATAGGCATCTCCTGAAGCTTCAACCACTGCAGGGGCACATTCAATTTAGCATATATGAAAAATAAAAAACGCACTTTATTAAATGATTATTATTTTTCAATTTACAATGTTTTTTTTCTCATATAAGTAAAATGGATGAATATGACAGGAACATCAGACATGGATTTTGAAAAGAGCTTAAACAATGGGAAAATAATCATCAGACTTTAAATTTGATTCTGTGGAATTCTGTTAAATCATTGTCCTTAAAAAAAAAAAAAAAAAAATAAGATCTATAAATTGTTCCTGTGAAAGTGTGACTCTCTGTTCAGCTGAATATACGTTGGTTGGTCTATGGGGCTGAAGCCCCCCAAAATGATAAAATGTAACGATGTTTATGGTAAAAAATTATCTCTTAAAGTATTATTATTCGTATAATTACATTTAATAGGACTTCAAGAATCACTTAAACACAATTTCATGTCATATAGGTAGTTAGTATCTTTTTTTCCAAAGTAATTATCGTTGTATGTTTGAAAAAAAAAAGCTTTCTGGCTGAAGCCCCTCCCAAAATTAAATCCTTGATCCGCTAGTGCTCCATACCATTGAAACTCTGAGGCTCAAGTGGTATGGACACCTGAAATGAGAATATTTGTATTATCCTGGGACTCTTGTCCCTTTTGAAGTATAAATACTGAGAAAATGCCTCTGTGGCCATACATTAAATTAAATATTTACAAAATAATACCTAATTAAAAATAAAAAATATAGGAGGAAAAAAGAACAAAATAAAATAAAATAACGTAAGTAAACAACATGGTTTCTGGGGGATCTTCAGAAGTTCTCTTATGTACATTTTGTGATCAGTCAGATTCGGAAAGGAGTAGATGCTTAAAAAGGAGAGATTTAAATGAGGAAACTGATTGTACATGTTTGATATCGGAAGGGATAGAATTACAAAAGGAGACGGCTTGAATTGCAAAGGATTTGTCAAACGCAGCAGTTCAGTGAGAAGGAGGCTAGAGGTCAGAAGTACGGGATTGAATTGTAGGCTCTGAAGAATATAAGAGGGTATCTGACATCTAATGGCCTGGTATAGAAAGGTAGCAAGGAAGTACCGACGACGGTAGGATGGATAGAGCCACTTCAACTCGGCGTAATACTCGGTAATATGTGTATCTCTTGAGATCTCGAAGATTAAGTGCATTGAGCAATTCATTAGGCGTTTAAGTTTGGCTTTGAGTTTTCCCAAGAGTCCACCGTATACCATACAACCATAGTCAAAGTTGGGGAAAAGAAGAGAGGAAACCAGGAGTTGACGGGTTTTGTATGGAAGGATAGAGTGTTGACGGTTGAAGTGTTTTAGGGTAGAAATTGTACGACAGGAAATGTGGGAGATGTGTGGTTTCCAGAAGAGGGTTTGATAAAAAAATAACACCATGGTTTTTAACGGAAGTTTGGAACGAAATAGGTGAGTAGTTTAGGAGAAGATTGGGAGGTACAGGATGGGATTTTATGAGTGCGGGGGATCCGATAAGGATAGCTTTCGTCTTCTTGGTATTAGCGAGCCTATTGTGGTTTGCCCAGGCACAGATTCGGTCCATATCTTCCTGAAGTTTTGGGGTTGCTGCAATGGAATCAGCTGGGTCGAAGGAAAGATAAATTTGGACGTCATTGGCATACAGGTGGTATTGACAGTACAGGATAGAGGACGGAAGGTCATTTATATAGATGGAAAAAAGGGTGGGAGATGAGGAGGGCCCTTGGAGAACGCTTCTAGACAAGGATAGGGACTCTGATTGGGGATTATTAGGGACTACAGCATACTGGGAGCGACCGGTGAGGAAGGATCGGAACCGTTCAAGGACACTAGAAGACAAAAAGATATTTTTAAGTTTGGTAAGGATAGAAGATGTGATGAGGATGGAAGAAAGGTCGCCCGCGGAGAACATGTATGAGGGAGTCAAGGAAGAAATGATGAACAGGGTTAGGCGTGAAGAAGATGGCAAAGACTTATTTTTGCCAACATTTTTGATGACATAATAAATATTTTAAAAGTCGTTAAAAAAAAAATTAATATGCGAATTTCGGCAAATAAAAAGTATGTTTGGAAACTACATTAAATTTCCTTTAAAACTATACTTCGTCACTTTTATCTTTTTTTATTCAGAAATTAATTTATGCAATTGCAAGATAATAATTTGAAAAAAAAAGTGTTTCATTTCTCTTCCTTTCCTTACTCGTAACATCCAAATTACTAAAGTAAAAATTTGAATAAGAACAGACGGGCGATTGAGTTTTCAGAAATGAAAGAAATGCAAAGTACGAGATTAACAAATACTTGTATTTGCATGATCCAAATATCAAAGTATACTATAGAGGACAATTGAAGAACTACTTCAGTGGAAGAACTGGTATGTTACTTAGATTTAAATCTGGGTCGTTCAACTTTCAACTTGAGAAGACTACCACAGTTAAAGGATTAAAAAAGTTAAGCATGCTGAAGATATTAAAATATTCATCTAGACGAAAATCCCAGTTCTTACAACTCCATTAACTTAGTCTTCAATTGTGAGATTGACTTCTGCATGTACGCCCAAATCACTTACTCCACTGGGCAGAGGTTGGTGACAACCACAAAAAAAGGTTACTCCTACTACTTGGCGCTACAGACCGATGTGGTCCTTGGCCTCCTCAACAAGTTTTTGCCAGGTAGTTCGATCTTGTACCGCTACTCGCTAGTTGCAAATGTTGAGTAGGTTGCCGGTCTCCCTGGCAAGTGTCCTCCCATCCGAGACGCGGTCTGGGGGAGCCTGCCATCCAGCGATTACCTGGGCATTTCTTCTTCCTGCGTGCGTTCAACGTGGCCAGCCCACCGCATTTTTACCAACCTAATAAACTTTATTACATCAGTCTCGCCATAAAGCTGACAAAGTTTATTGTTCCTCTATCTCCAATCCTCTCCAATTCTTACCAGTCCAAATATTCGTCGGAGATTTTTTTTCTTCGAATATAAGAATTCATCTCTCCTCTTTACTTGTGAGGGTCCAGGTCTCTGATCCATAAGTTAAAACAGGCCTTGTAAGAGTTTTATATAAGAGGCACTTAGTGCTGCGGGAGAAGTAGGAATTTCTCAGGTGCTTTCTGAGACAAAAATAGCCCTTGTTGGGTTTTATGAGTCGCTGAATGGAGATCCTTTTTCCACAAATCAGTACTGACCCCAGGTACACAAACTGGTCAACATTCTAGAACATGAATTGGCTCATCACCACGGGTTGTCGGTCCGCTGTGTCTACTCCAGGCCCAGCTCTCAAATATTTGTCTTCTCCTGGTTTACACACATCGCCATATCCTCTGCAGCCTTTGCCAACTTGAGAACAGCTTCTCTTAAGGACTCAAAGGATCATGCGACGATTCAAGTCATCAACAAAGCCGAATACATGAACGAGCCAGTTAAAAATGGTGTCAGAGGACTATATACCCGAATCACGTAGAATTTTCTCCAAGGATAGGTTGAACAACAGGCAGGCTAGATCATCACCTTTTCCAACACCTCTGGTAGATACATACTGCGGGGAAAGATACGTCTGAATCTTCACTATACAAATTGTACCATCCATTATCATCCTGATCAGTTGAACCAATTTCAAAGGAACTCCAAGTTCTCTCAAAGCTGCCGACAACTTATGCCTTTTTATGCTATAATAGGCTCTCCAGAAATCGACAAAGAGGGGGTGAGTTATCATCCGATACTCCTGGGACTTCTCTAGTATCATCCAGAGACTAAACATTTGATCAACTGTAGATCTCCCTCGTCTGAAACCTACTTTATATTTTCCAACTATTCTCTCTGAAAATGGGAGAAGTTTTCTATAGATTACATTAGATATAACCTAGTTGATGCATTGTAGAAGTGGAATACCCCGATAGTTTGAGCATTCCAAGATGTTTCCTTTTTATAAAGTGGATTGATGATGCTTTTCTTCCACTGTTCTGGCATTTTCTCTTCGATCCACACCGTGAGGATGACATTGTAGGGAGCTATCAAGAACTCCTCACCGCCATGGTTCAATAGCTCGGCTGAAATCCCATCTTCACTTGGAATTTTGTTGTTTTTAAGCTTATTAAAAGTATCCTCCACGTTATCGTAAGTGGGTCGATCGAGAATTTCTTGATCATCATCACCATCAGGTACCTTCAACTCTTCTAGATCTTCTGCGTTGCCATTCATCGTACTGTTGAAGTGGCGTGACCACTGCGCTAGTATTTCACCTTTTTCCGTGGTCATGGATCCATCCTCCTTTCTACATGGCCTGGCACATGGTTTGAAGCTAGTCCTACTCTGGTTGATCCTCTGATAAAACAGTCTTGACTCCCTCTGATTGCTCTATTCCTCCATCTTCTCAAGCTGCTTCCGCTCCCATTCCCACTTTTGTCTTTGGTGAAGCCTCTTCTCCTGTCTGAATACTCTTCAGATGCTCTCCTTGTATGGCTCCTATATGCTCTACTTTGGACCATGTTTTTATAAATTTTGTTTTTCGCTTCAGTGGCCGTCACACACTCTCCAACAAACAAATGAGATCTCACTCTTTGTTCTCAATTCCCAAGGGTTTCCTGGGCCAATCTATTAATCAATGATGAGAGGACATTCCATTATTCCTCAACAGAGGGCTCCACAACACCAACACTCATGATTGTTTCATCAAGCTACTTTTCGCTAACCTCAGGTTTCTTAAGTTTGGCTGTATCTACTCTCATCTGTTTCATTCCCAAGGTCTTCCCCTTGCATTTGATATCCTGGCTCTCATTTTGCAAACCAACAGATCATGGTTGGTATCCATAATAGCTCCCCGGTAGGATCTGCAACTAATCAAGTCAGACCTATGTTTCCTTCTGATCAAAATGTGGTTAATTTCATTCACAGTCTGATGACTTGTCTCAAATGAAAAGTCCATATGAGATCTCAATGCGATGGGTTTTTTTACAGGGTGGGGTTGCAAGCCCCACCTCCAACCCTCCTTGAGAAAAGATCTTCCTTTCAGTATTTTCGGAAGCAATCCGGACTATTGGGTCTACCAATTTCACACAGGACTTGAAGGGGGGGGAAGTTTCAATCTTTAAATTTAGTGGTGTCTCGATGACTGTTAATATATTATAAACTACTGCACCGCCTTTAGGCCAATTAGGAGCAAATTATTGAAGGATTCCGGTTTCACCGCTAGTGGCTTACCAAATGAGCCATACTACAAAGATTTGGTCAAGCATGTTAAGCAGCAATGGGCCCCGCACACTTCTCACTCCGAAGAAGTGTGTCTTCTAGGACCTGATTTTAAGGTGGAATGGTGTAAACGCGAATCAGCGAATTGTCGACTAGGTCGGGACAAGTTCAGGTATCAAATTACCAGTGTTACAGCAGAGTTGATTGGACGTTTATTTTATTATAAATTGGCATTTATTGCGATACCTTTACATAAAATTTATGGTCTTAGAATTCGTAGTTTTATTATTCCCGAAAATAATATATTATTGTACTAAATCTACAGGAGTCGGGGTAAAAAAGCGTTTTATTTTATGTCCGTTATAGATTACCTTGTTGTAGCTATTAGGAATCAATCCCGGATTTAAAAAGGGAAGGACTGGAGGGAAGAAACGTTAGTGCAAGAATTTTAAATTGACATTTCTTTTTTTTTTAACTGCTGCAAATCCTGTCACCTAACGTACCCAGCTATAGTTACAAAAATAAATTTAATGTACTTACAACTGAAATAAGTTTGACCAGTCGCGTAAAATATCCATTATGTTTTTTTGTAAAGTTGTGTTTTCTTTGTAAATATATTAATGTTATCCTTTGAAATAATTTTGATATAGGTTAATTCAGCTGTTTGTAGATCAATTAGTACTTCAGAATTCTATTATCAGGTAGATTTCAAAAATAATTTTGATCAAATGCCATAATATGTCTTAAAATACTAAGGATACATTGTGGTAACATTCTAGACCAATTCTATGAGTAAAATCGTTTTTTTTTTGCGCTTTGTATATCTCAGGATAGAAGATGGTCATAAGCAGTGCCGTCCTTAACATTTGGCGCACTCCAGGCAATAATGACGTTCTCTCCTCTCCATAAAACCATTAAATTTATTTACCAAGCTGTTTTATATTATGTTATATTTGAATTTTATTTCATTAAATATATCTCTAATGCAGTTGCTTTATTAATAGGATAAAATCAATTCTTAATTATAAACTCCGAAATTGGCATGTCGATGGATCGAGAAGAAAACATATTGTGTTTTAAAGATTTCGACGCGGACATGAAGTTCCTGCGGAAGTTTACAGTATCAAGAGTTAAACTGTACAGTTTTCGAAATAAATCGTAATTCTAGATGAAAATTTCTTAGTTACCATGAGATACATATCGCATCCTTGGGTTTTTAAAAATTAAAATCTTGCTATTTATTTACAATCTACGACAAACTAAAAATCTATTGAAAAGGCTAGTCCGATCTTGCTAACTGTACAAATGGCGGATGATGTAAAAAATATTAGACCAGTTACTTGAGGATCTTCATTCCGCAAAATGTGGTAAAAGTTTTTATTTTTTTAACTTGTACATAAGGGTTCAGACATATAAAAAACAGGATAATGAGGTATTAAAATACAAATTTCATGAAGAAATAACGAATCCTCGAACTGATCTATATTAAAACAACAGTTAGTACTATGGTGTGGAATTTGATGCTCTATAATTTTTATTCTATGAGTTTTTATTTTAGAGAACTCATTCCTAAGCTGCAGCGGCATTTTCGGTAAATTTCGTAAGTTGACGAATTTGGTAACAATTGGCGTTTGTTGACGGTGGTTAAAGAACATACCACTTAACCAAATTATTAAGTTTAGGTACTCGTTCGATACACAATTTAACTTTATTTAATTTGTGAAAGAAAAGGTTTTAAGTTTTGTTGCACTGTTGAAACTATAGGTGAAAAAAAACTAAAAAAAAAGATTGAAATAATCAGGCTTTTTTGGCTATCATAAGTTCTTGGTGGCCCGCGTCAGCAATTTGTTTTTTACATGTCTCAAACAATATATACAAGTTAAAAAAATAAAACCTTTTCTCACAATGAATTTCCCGTTTCGATTTCCAAGTTACTGGCCCAAAATTCATTAAATCAGTCGCCATTTTTACAGGAAGTAAGACCAATATATCTCATCCCAATGGTCAGTAAAATACTCTGGCATATTAAGAAGGGTAAACCATGTTCTCCAAGTGGCAAGGGAAAGATACTTTCTCCCTTTGGTACTGCAAGAGTTCCGAACCCCTCAGCAACCTGTACTCCCTTGTGAGGAGCCACATTTGCAATAGGAAGGTGATAGTGTGTGGGAGTTCTTATGAGTTAGAGAGAGAGATAAAGAGGGGTTGCCCACAGGGCTCGGTGCTTGTACCATCGGTGTGGAAGCAGAGGCGTTCCGGGCCACATTTTCCATTGAAGATAACAATGACGGATAGCACAGTCAGGCTGGTGACGCAAGCAGTGAGAAGCACCGCTAAGGTAGGAAAAGTGAAGCTGAGGATGGCATTGGCCAAGACACCGGCTGTACTTTTGAAAGGAAAGACAGACAGGCCTTACCCTGTTAACCTGCAGTAAGTCCTGGTTGCAGTAAGGGGTCGAACATGTGAGATGATGTACCTTTAAATCAGTTTAAGAAGAAGGGTTGATGCTACTCCATGCACTTTATATTCAAGAGATAGAGCGACCCACTCCTTGAATGGTCTTTGGGGGATTCTTTTTTTTCGATTACCCTCATCTCACCATTTCTGACATACAGAGGGGTCATTCTAGAGGTACAACCAACCTATTCCAGTGGGAAGGTTGGATTTATTTCAAGAGTACCAAGCAATAAATTTCACCAAGAAAATTTTTGTAATGGCATCTCCATATTTGAGAATGCTTAAGTAAAGCTTTAACACGCTTGGCTATCATGAACCTCCAGACTGTCGAGGATAGGGAGCACCTTCTGGAGGATTAAACCTGTCATACTCTGAGGTATGTATCCCCTACATGAGGGCCCTCACCTCACACAAGCACAAAGGAAAAAAACTGGCCACCAACCTGAGACTGAAAGAATCTTGAAGTGATCAGGATGGTTTTGCAAAAGCAGTCCAGTTAAATAAATTGGATAAGCATGATTAGAATTTCACTCCTTCGAGGTAATTCATTCTTGTTACAGCTCCTGATATTGTCAGTGTAGTATAACATACTATAGTAGTAACTTTGCAAGTCTGTATGCTGTACTGAGAGCTTGCACTTATTGTTTTACTGATATAATATTAGGAAATAAGAATAGAAATGTTTGACAAATACATTTTATTTACACAAAATTATTTATAAAATATTTCTCTTGGCACAGTTTGGAAAAAAACCAAAAGTAACTTATAAAAAATCAACATATAGCATAATAATAAATATGCAGAGCACAACTTCCATTATGAATAACAAAATTAATGTTTTTGATTAAATAGTGCTCAAGCACTGAGAAAATATTATCAATTTGTTACAGAGTTTTTAATTACTACTTATACGTAATTAGTAAAATTTCTTTCTCACATACTTATACATACATTTATATATATTTACTATTTGTAGCTGGCAGTGTGAAATTTGACTACCACTAGTTTATCGTTTCATAGCTCCTAGGTAATTCAACTAACAAACACAATCTGTACAGTTCACAAATTATTGTTAAATTAATAATGTCACATCCTTAAATAAAAGAATTCTGCCTTCAAACTACCTTTTAATTATGTGTTAAACAAAACAAATTTATTTATTTAAAACCAAAAATATAATCCATTGTTTATTTTTTATTTTATAATAAAGGATACACCTCTGTAAACTTAAACAGCCACTGAATTTCTAACTAGCAGTTAATTATAATTACAAAACTTCATGTTTTTATTTGAAGATAGAAAAATAATTTGTTTGGATTTTGGTTTATGATACCTATAACATCAAATATAGGTATGATCAGGATACAAAATATACAGAAATAATATCATAATGGTATTTAAAATTGACATTAGCTTAATAGTCTTATCCTGACCATGTCCAGGAATAACATTTCATGATTCATTACAGTGTACAATTTGAAAGAATAGAATGATTCAATAATTTAAAGTAATCAATTAAAAAATTTACATGTTTTGTATTAATCCATAAAGATCTAAGAATTGTAGTACATTTTTTGACTACAAATAAATTTTTGGGAAGTTAACCATTTATTATAATAAATAGGAATCCCCTAACAAATAGACTCGAAGTCATTACATTATCAAGGCTTTAATGATCACCAGCTTGTTGGATTGGAAGTCTTCTATTAATCGGCCTCCTCCTTCCTATTAGCGAAGCCAATTTATTTTCTGTAGTGTGAGGTTGTGGCTCGGTGCTGCTTGGTGGAGGAGTTTCAGTCTCTACAGGGGTTGGCTGTGTTGTAGTTTCAGCAGAAGCCTCCGATTCAGTTGTCCGTCTTCTATTATTCAGACCTAGAAAAAAGTTAAAGATAAATAATGAGAATATTAAGAATGATATTGAATACCGAGAATCGCAAAATAGGTGCTACCTTTAGAAATACCTATCAGCAGCTCATACAATAATTAATTATATATAAACTTCTGATATAATTCATCAAAGTCATTACTCACAACTTGTATCTGATGCAAGGAGGATGAAACCTAAAATTTATTAAACTTCTTAATTAGAACATAACTGAAAAAATTAATACAGTATCCAATACATGAAATACCACACATTTTAATGAAAACGAAGTTAATCAAATTGAATAAAACAACCAAATAAACGGTACCTTTAAGGAAGCCATATTTTTCTTGTAACAATCATGAGCATATCCTGCTGAAATCATTCATCTACCTCCTTTTCAATTAATTCTTTCTTAAGATTTTCCACATCATCAACAATAAGTTTAATATTCTTCTTTAACTGCTTTTTATTATCATTTAATAACTCTACGACTATTTCTGTCCTAAATGTTTCATAGGCCTCTTCAAGAACAACTTGAAAAATTTCACATTCAACGTTTTCATTGATTTTACTTTCACCATATTCTCTCTCTGTCAGGCGTTCGTTCAGAACAGAAATACTAGTTCTAATCACATATACCTTATCAAACCATTCCTTAGGGAAGAAGTCACATGAATGATACTCAACGATTAAACCGCCTTTTTCTGCTTTCTTTTTCAGTTTTGCGATAACCTTGTCTTCATCTATTACATCACAATTCATCTCATCATCATGTTCAGAGATCAGCTTTTTAGAAATTGCAAACACACTGATGTTAATATGTTTGAGTCCAGTAAGTTTACTGACTTTATCAGCAATACTTGATTTACCAACAGCTGGAGTCCCGGCAATAAGAATATTAGGTTTCTTTCTTGACATTTTTAAAACGAAATAGATCAAATATTAATAATTAAAGCTTCACACTTCAATGTGGATAGATATTTCTTAAGAATGCGCCAATGCAGGAAGGTACTAAGGCAACAGGTTACTGATACTTGCCAAGGTAGCACTGAACAAAGAGGTTGGAAGCAGGAGCAGAAGAAAGGAAACTTGGAGTGGTGGAAGGAGGAGGGAGAAAAGATCAAGGTCATAGTGTAGCAGTTCATATGATATTAACATAAAGTTTTTAAATAATTGTATCATGAGTTTCAGTCAACAACAAAGCTTGCATATATTGTTATTTATATTTATATGTTGATTACAATACGAAAATTTAAAATTGTATCGGATTTTTTTAAAAATTATTTTTGTTTATTTACTTGGAATTATTTAAGTGAGATATTGCCTTGTTTTGTACTTTGGTCTATTCATAATATTTTTTTCCCCTGAGTTGTGATAGTGATAGATATATTGAATCCATTAAAAAGTTGATTTGCCTTATTTCCTATTTATAGAAAGTTTCTGAGTAGCTTCTAAAAATATATGCACCATTATACATGTTTTGTTAAGCTATAGTTTTGTACCTTGAATAAAACCATCTACTTATTGTAATTTTACATTTCTTTAAAGGTTAAATTAAGTTTTAAGTTGAACAAACACATTTATGGGAACTATGGGATAAACTTACCAATGAGAGGTCTCCTTTGGTTGTTGAATGGTCTTGTCTGAGGGACAACTGGTTGGACTTTGAGCCTAGGTCTGGACCTCAGCTTTGTGAGAGCATCCCCTTCTGAATGTGCAGGAGCCTCTGGTGTTGTTGCTACCTCTTGTTCAACAGGCGCTTCAGAAGAGGCTGGGGCTGGTGCAGCTGTGGTACTGGCACCGGGTCTCAGTGGCCTAAGGTTAAGTCTTGGTCCCGGCCTCAAAGGTCTAGCTCCAGCAGCACCTCCAATTCGTACCCTATAATATTAGAATGTTAAATATAGTAGATAATTGGATAATGGAGAATCATCTAAAATAAATTAAGAACAGAAAATTACTGGTGGTAAACAAAAATTATAATACCAAAACTATAGATTTAGGTCAAAGCCTAAGTAGGGATGAATTTTTAGTCAGAGATAATGGAAATTTTTTCCATTTTCTGATTTCATTACTTTCATCATTTATACATAAAATACTTGATTGGAAAAAATTAGCAACTTGTAAGGGAGAATTAGAAGCAATGTTTACTATTTATTTGGACAGTCTCCCTATAAAATTGAATCTGGAGCTGTTTTGTCTTTAATAACTTTATAATGGGATAAACTTTCTGCAGCTTTAAATTGCCAATAAACTGCTAATATGATGGAGCTATGCCATCTAACAAATATTTAACCATCAAATTAATATAAGAAGTTTAAGAGATTTTTTATATAATGGAAACTATTGTTCAGTAATACAGTAAAAAACTGTATCGGTTTTTACACTTTTCTGGGTTTATAGTTTTATTTTTTTAATATCAGTTATTCATGGTTTTTATAACCAGGGAGAATATTCTGTCCACTACAACCATGGGACATCACTAGAATGACTGATTATTCATCAACATCTTTGAAACAAATTAATAAATACAAATTTTGATTGCAGATATAAATAAAGTGATGTATTTGAGCTAAAAATAAATATACTAATTTTTAATAACTACATGTTTGTGTTTATTTTCAAAACGACTCATCAAATTTTAAATTAGAAATATATTTTTAATTCAATTTGAAATAAAGAAATAGATATATTTTTAAAGGGGATAAGATATTTTTTTTCCATGCCAATGGGGGTGCTATATATATTGCTCTATATAGTTCCATAAATAAATTAAAAAAAAACTTAATTTCATCGGAAGTTAATGTCTACTGATATAAATTTTTTTTTCTTAAAAGTTTTTAATTGAGCTAGTGTATTGGTTACAATGTGATAAGTAATATTCTTGTTAGGTATAAAATTGAATAATACTCTTGTAAATACACTTATTTATTGTAGTATATTATCTAGCTATCTTCTGGTATAAAATATCTGTTTAAGCTGTATTAAAATAACTATTATTTATAAGTTAAAATGAACTAAAAGTTATAAATAGAAGTATTTGTGTAATAAGTGCCTCAGTTTGATCTAAATATAACTGAATTTACAATAATTGAATCGGTAATGTCTTACCTAGGCTTTGCAGTAGTGGATGTGGGTTCTGCTTCTTCTGAAGGCTCTTCTTCTTCAACAGGAGCTGGTGTAGTGGAAACTCTACCTCTAGTCCTATATCTAACCACATATATCTATTTATCAAATCCACTTTATTTATATACATACGCAAAAAGGAAGGTATAAAAATGTTGAGCGTTTATAGATAATAATGTACGCATTTTTAATCGGCCTACCTTTTCTGTAGTTGAAATTTCATATATAACTTATTCAATATGGATATTATAAAGAGTAATGAAACATATTTTTATGATTTCAAAAATTATACTTAAACAGGTTACCTATTGCCACCAGACCCTGCTTGGAAATTATTCCTGGCCCTTGTACTTTGTTGGGTTGCCTCAGTAGTTGTTGAAGTAGCAGCGGCAGCAGCTGAAGCTCTTCTTCGGCCATAAGCTGATACCTGAACAATTGAGACAATTTTTAATAAATAAATAAATTGAAATAAACTTTTAAAACTCAAAAAAGAAGAAAAAAAATATGAAAATAAAAACTAAATTATTCCTGGCTAGTCTTAATTAAATTAAATGAAACCTACTGTTGGTGAATATTAGTAGAAGTAAAATTAAAAAAAAAAATTATGAGCTTGCAGTTAAATGGGAAAACATTACCAAGGTAAAGTAGGAAGGATGGTTTTGGAAAAGCATGCAGCATAATTTTAGGAGAATATTTGCATTTGTTCTACAATAATTCCAAGAGTTTTGTGTAAAAATTGAGCATTATTTTGAAATAAGGTAGGGATGAAGAAGCTTATGGTTTTAGTAAGTGATTTGAACTTAACAATTGAGATATTGCAATTTTTTATTGCTTACAATAAAATAGATTAATTGGATAAAGGAGAAATATATTTCCAAATAGTTCGAAAGGAAGAGGTGAGATGATACAGGGTATAAGGAAGTTTAGAAAGTTATAATTTATTTTTTTGAATTTTATATTAAATTAAAAACCTTACCTGTCCAGGACTTCTGCTGTGTGATGGCTTGAACTTAGGTCTCTGAGATGCTTCATCCTCTGGTGTTGCCTCAGTGGTTGTAGTTGTTGAGCCCCCTTGTGATCGTACCCTGGTCCTGGAGCCTCCGCTGCGGAACCTGTGATGGATAAAGTGGGTTGAATCAATATTCTTCAAATTTTGCTTTACATTTTGTGTGCTATCTGAAGTACTAATATTACAAATTTTATTCAGATACTACACAAAATTTAAACCGAATATTTTCAGGTCTGTTGTAGTTAAAGATACTAAAATAAAATAAAATGAAGTTGAATTGTCATAACTTACCTTCCCCTCTTAGTTGGTTCTGGTGGAGGAGGTGGTGTGGTTGTGGTGGTTGTTGTTGTAGTCGTCGTTGGTGTGGTAGTAGGTTCTGGAGTGGTGGTTGGAGGATCAGTTGTAGGTATATTAGTAGTACCATAGTCAGAATCCACTACGGAGTTCTCTTCTTGAGTTTGCTGAAGTATAGCATACAAATCTAAAGCAGCTTTGGCAGGCATTTCTGGAAAAAAAAATACTATTGTTTCTTTGCTAATTTTATGAATCAACATGTTTTAAGTTTTAATGTTTAAGCTTAGTTAATAAGTTGTTTTGTATAAATAAAAATAAATGAATCTGAAATTATAGATTAATGTGATGTTTGGTAATATCACATCAGTTTAAAATAATGAATGAATATGATATAGTTTCAAACCCATACCTACCTGAAACCCAAAACACTGTTTTTGTTAATTCTTAAAATGAAACAGAATGTTCTATTAACCTCAATCCTATATCTTTTCATTTTTTAATATAAATGTGTTGCTTCATAAAATTAATTGAGAATAAAAACTTAGTATTCAATGTGTAGTTAATCTAATTTAACCATTAATTTTTATTAAGCGTAATAATCACAAGACTTTATTCAATTCTTTTTTCCATAAAATAAAAAAAAGGATTGTAATGCATTGGAAGAGGGTATTATGTATCAATAAGATGTTGCATTCTATTGAGCAGCGGTATTCTTATTATTGTTCTAGAGGTAAAACCAAACCAATTCGAATCAGAGTAGGAAGAGATCCATTCTGTGGGTAGGTCACAAAATAAATTTCAACCGGCCCAGGTTGGATTTGAACCGACCATGCTAAACTCGAGAATGTTAAAACTAGCTGGATTAGTTGATTATATTAAATAATTTAGAAGAAGCATTATCAACCGGAGATGACGGTTGGTAAATACCTCCACTCATACCTTTACATGTTTGCTGGTCCTGAGATGCTGCTTTAGGTGCCCGTTGGTTGAGACGCTCCCGGATTGGATGAAACCCGTAGGCGTCTGCAGTTCCTGGGTAGAGAAGCTGCGCTGGCTTATCTATTGGAGCAAGTAGCTGATGAGGCTGTTGTCTTCAACTAAGTTGTGTTCTGCGACTTTTCATGGTGAACAGGTGACACACTTTACCGGAGTATCGGATTATTTTCCTGGTTTGATGAGTGAGTTATACGATTTTTTTTTCCAATATGTCCTCTATAAACGTTTCTTTAATTTTATCCACAAAGAATATAGAAAGAGTAACGGGAGATGACATTTACTGTATTCATGGCTTCAAAACCCATTTTCTTCAACTCTTCTTTGATGGTGTGGAATGGTGTTGCATGGTATAGATGTTTTAGAACGAATCTTGGGCACCAATCTTCAGAGAGTTGATAGGTATGGAAGTCTGTGTATTTATTTAGCAGGCTTCTATGTAGGTTTTCTATAAATGTCTGCAGTTTTCGAGTTATTCGGTTACAGCTTGTAGATTTGGTTTTAAAAATGTTTGGGCTTGCTTCATTTTTTAGTAAAAAAATTAAACATTAATAAAAATTGTTGGCATTTCATCATTTTAAGTGGGTCTTCCTGTCACTTCTGACTGAGAGTTCCTAGTTTGGGTTAGGGCCTGCTAAAAGTTGGTATAGATTCCGCCGATCGTTGTTTTGATGAGAGGTTTGAATTGTTTATCGATCTTTTCAAGCAATCTGCAGTTACCAGAAACCAGCGGCATTGTTTATATCACTATTATTGAAGTCTATTCGGCTTACGTAATGTTGAGATAATTCCACCATGCTGGGCAATGAAATCACTCAATCCTTGTCTTCAGCTCTCGGATCTTGATGAAACACTTTTACAACATTACAGTTAACATTTTTTTCCACTCACAAATACAAACTAACCTGTTAGGATAAATAACATTGTTATTCTTATCTGACAACTAAAAATACTATGAATACCTTGCAATTTCATAACTGGAAAAAAACAAAAATAGTGAAAGAGGGAGAGGGGTAGGTTAGTAGTAAAAAAAAGGATGCCTGTGTCATGATTAACTTAAAATCATTAACAAAGAACTTTATAGGAAGGCAAACATATCTATCAATTTAAGTATTATCTATTTTGCAAATATTATTTAAAATATGGATCTGATTGATGAAACAAGGGAGAGAACATGCAATGGGTTCTGCTCCTAGAAGGTAGATGACACGCCTGCGAGAAAGTTGCAACTTAATCCCAGCGATGTGGAATAGTCACACTGCAATAAGTCGCAACCACAGTCTCGCCAGGCGTGTTAACATGTTACCGGCAATTTGCGACACTCCAAGGATTGTTTACGTTTTACAGTGATTCGATTTACGTGATTTTCTACAGTGTTCATTCAACTTCGTCTTTTTGTTTATAGAACCGTACTTGCAAAAAGTTACTATACCTATACCTGCGATCAAATATAATGTGTCAAATCCACTAATTTACGCGTGCGCACGCAAAATTAGTGGATGGAATTAGATGAAATTGATGTAGTATCATCAAGGTACCAATGAACCCAGTACAATCTCTAAAATTTTTTTGCAACTCGAATTAAGATTAGTAGATAATATACCTCTCGCATGGAATTGACTACAGACAAGGAAACCGAAGTTTTTAATGATGTCTAAAAGTAAAACGCAAGTGTATATTTTTTTCTGTATGGTACTATATATTAGGTACTCATAACACTGTGAGGTACGAAGTGTTCTCATTGTATATATCTGTTGATTATTAAAAATTTTTTATTTAAAGGCGAATTTTGATTTTTATCCAAAATTATATTACTAAAGTTTGGTAAAAAATAAAAAACTACAAACAAATATTTTTAGCATTATCCAATCCGTGAAATTAACAAAAGAAAGAAGTATTATATATATATAACTTATCAATCGAGTTTTTATGAAAAATGAATATAACTACAAATGGCTTATATGGCTATAATCTATTTATTCTTACCTTGGTCGTTCTCTTCCGGTAAGGCAGAAGGAGCGACAGAAGGCTGTGGAGGTGGCAGAGTGGTCTGGGGTACGGATTGTGGCTGGAAGGTGGTAGGCCTGATGTATTCTTCTAAGTCGGACTCCCTCGTATCTCCCACTGCAGAAGAGAGGTATCCGCCCTGGTCCTCTTCGGGGGCGGCGTCGCTGGAGTGGGTCCTGAAGCTGCTGCTGTCCACCAAACTGGGTCTCCTTACCGAGCCACCGCCTCCTGCAAGAAAGAGTAGGATTAAAATGTCGGACAAAAACAATCGAAAAATAAGAAGAGACATGCTGCGTGGTTCCAAAAAGCAAAATTAAAGGAAACCAGAATTTCCTTTTGGAAGGAAAAGGAGAGTATTGAAGAATATGTTGATGGGAGGGGATATCTTCAAAATAAACGTTCTTGATCTTGACTCCAACCAAAAAACAGATAAATAAGGACAAAGAATAGTAGGTATGTTAATAGGTATCAAAAATTTTTGACCTCCTAACCTAAATGTTTCTTCCAAATTAGATTAGTTCATAAAGTTGGATATACAATCGGAAATCTCACATTACGTAATTTCTTAATTTCTGTGTATTGTTAGTTTGTAGAAAATTTATTACACGACTTTATACCCAATTCCTCTGGGGCACGTTGTACTCTAATAAGGTCTTATTTTATTTCTTTTTTATATGGTATAACCCACTGTGTCTGAAATAGGCATCTAGGGAACTTAAGATCTAATAAAAAAAAAAAAAAAAAGAAAAAAAGAAATTGAAGAAGACTTGTAAATTACTAAATTCATAACTACTGTTTACAAAACTTGAAGTAATTATTTACAATGTTCTTTATGGGTTTAAATCGTACGTAAGCGCTTATGCTATCCTATCAGTGATTGACAAAAGGGATTTGTGACGATCAGAATATACGTGTAATTTTTATTTTTTAGGATGAAGAAAGGATGCAGGAAAAGTTAATAACAAGTAATCCGACTCAAGTCCGAAGAGAATAAACTTGATTTAGGAAAAATATTTTAATAATAAGTAATCCAAAAAATAAAAGTTTACTTTTGAACAGTAATGATTAATTTTAAAGCGTTTACTGTTTATTTATTAGTCCAAGAAGATAACATTAACGGGATTTTGATTTGAGTAGCAATTATTTATTTATTTGAATTTTTTCCTGGTTATCCATTTCCTGGTTAATTATGTACTTAATAATTACAATAATTTCTGAATTATATGGAATGATTAGACCGACTAAAGATGAATAAAAGAAATTGATTATTTTAATAAGTCCGATTAGATTATACCTATAAAAAATTATTCGTGTTAATACAATTCCTATTACATGTTTTCTTGTCACATACATTGTTGAAGAAAAATCACTTCTTTTCATTTCCAAAGTTAAAGAGGTTTCTCAATCAATTCTATTGACCGTTTCTTTCTCTATTCCACTCGACGAATTAGTTTTGTTCTGCTCCGCACCATCGAGCAAGTCTAACATTGATTTAAAGTTGGTATCTCTTTGTTTTACGGCATTTTTTTGAGTTACATTGTTGGAGTCATGGTGGGTTCGGAGAAGGTCGAGTGAAGTTTAGTTATTATTTTTAGAGGAAATAATTTGAGCTTTAACAATTAAAAATAGTTCTTAAAACATCCTACTATGACTATAAGTCAGAGTTTTATTCTTCCGTGGAATAAATTCGCGAATAAAACTAATTTTAAAATTAGCTTCATTTTAATTTTGAATTAATATAGAAAAAACTCGAGATAATTTTGTTCAAATATAATTTTCAATAATTTGTGCAAAAATGTGTTTCTAAAAATATAGTTTTTTCGAGAGAAAAAAGATAATTATTTTTTCTTGTTGCTCTACAAATTCACGTACGTAATTTTATAAATTAGTCAATTATGATAATTGAGGGAGATTCAGAGGAGTTAATATACCCATGAGGATTTTAGAACCTGAGAGGTATGATAGATTTATACATATAGACATAAGTCGACTTATTTCATCATAGAGCTCTGTTGAAACCATAACTAGAAGATGGGGCTATATAGTATCCCATCTGTCTCGGTTTAACCTTGTGACATTTAGCCTTAGGTTCAAAGCTGATTACCTTTCCTACTTAATCGTTATGGCGCTGTAACTCCCATCCACTTTACTTGCAGCAGGTCACGCCATTCCCGGATGTTTATTTTTCGAAGTATATTTAACCTCTGGTGATTTCTCGTGCCAACTTTATCTCGTCCTTGTCTAGGGACTTCCTGATAATTATTAATGCAATAACCTCATATGCTCATATTGAGCTGGAACGGAAACTGTCGAGCACCATCGTCGTGACTCGCACTGCTTTTGATACGATAAGGGCCAAACTAAGGATGGCCATGGATAGTATCTACTTCGATATTATCGGCTATCGATAAAGTCCCTTTGATATTTTAATTTAAAAATTAAAATTAAAACTATCGTTTTCGGAAAGCGCAAGGAATTATAATGTGTTCGTTAGACAAAAAAAAAAAAAAAAAAAAAATCATCCTGCTTGTTTCATATAGATTGTAGTGCCACGTATAGAAAAATATCGATATTTCTATAATATCGACTATCGTTGGCCACCCTTAAGTAGAGTTGAATAGTGCGCTTGGGACTATTTTTACCCGATAAACTCAATTTGCTCTAATTTGTCAGAATCTTATCAAACTAAGGCCGCGAATTGTCAAATAAATCTATTAAGGATACAGATAAATTAGGATTTCGCTTGAATAATTGGTTGAATGGAAATGTCTGAAAAAAAAAAAAAACTGACGAAGATGGACAGGAACTAAACAATTAATTTTACTAAGGAGAGTAGAAGAATTGATGTTTCAATTACCTAATTTAAAGAGGAAAATCACATCTTGGTTTATTATTTTCAATAATCAACCATTGTGATCGACCAAAAAATTCAAAAACTTAACCCCCTCTCAAAATTTGACGTTTCACGTTTCAGGATGCGTAGAATTCGAAAAACGAAGAAAATTTTTTTTGTTCTTCCGCGCATTTTCTCCGAAACTACTGTACCGATTTTTTTCTAATTTTGATATAAAATTCGAGGTCACCCGATCACGCTATAGACTGTAGCGCCTAAACGAATGTACCGATTTCAATGAAACTCCGCTAAAGTCATTTTCTCTACGCCCTTTAAATTTATCTATATAACATACTTCAACGAAAAGAAGCTGGAAAAAAAGTTACGAGGGATGGTAAAATTAAATTCAGCATAACTCAAAAAGTTTATACTCTTTTGTTGATATTGTGATAAGATGTTTCAAAGGTATTTAAATTTCGTAAAAAATGAAGGAAGTTTCATCGAAATAAAAGCACTATTAGTAGAGATATCGCGGTTTTTACATATTTTTGGTCTTTAGGAAATTTAAATACCTTTGAAACATCTTATCACAATATCAACAAAAAAGTATAAACTTTTCGTGTTATTTGGAATTTAATTTTACCATCCCTCGTAACTTTTGCAGCTTCTTTTCGTTGAAGTATGTTATATAGATAAATTTAAAAGGCGTAGAGAAAATGACTTTAGCGAAGTTTCATTGAAATCTGTACATTCGTTTAGGAGCTACAGTCTATAGCAACGCTGGTTTTTAGGCCGCCATTTTGAAAGTAAAAGGCGGATAATAATGCCGATGAAGGAGGATCATCCTCGGGTGACCTCTGATTTTATATCAAAATTTGAAAAAAATCGGTCCAGTAGTTTCAGAGAAAATGCGCGGACGGCCGACGGACAAAAAATCTTTTATTCATTTTTCGAATTCTACGCATCCTGAAACGTGAAACCTTAAATTTTGAGAAGGGTTTAAGTTTTTGAATTTTTTGGTCGATCACAATGGTTGATTATTGAAAATAATAAACCAAAATATGGACTAAGAAATGTGTTTAGTTTTAAATAATTTAAAAAAGTAAAATCCATCAATACGTAATTTTCTCGCCTATTACACTGTGTTACCATTTACAAAGGTATTATGTTGTGATGATTATCTTAATTAATCAGGCGTTAAATGTAAATGCCATAAATTTGCAATTTAAACCTCGCGGGGATATATAAACGTGGCCTAAATCGATATTCGGTCAGATCGAAACGATGATATATCGCTATCGAGGCGTACGTCCTTGGAAGGCGAAAGTAAAGAACTGGTTTCCTCAACCGCAACTTTTTCCACAGCCTGCCTAGGCGTAACACCACAGTCTCCTGCATCAGCTCTGCCCTGCTTTCCTCCAGCTGTACCAATCCTATTTAGGTTTATATAGCTATATGGTAAATCAAAGAATAGTTTATTAAATGATCCATATGGATGAGGATTAGTAAATAATGAACATAACGGAACAGCCATACATCGTTTAATGTATCGCCGTCGCCAGCGTGTAGACATTCAAGAATTTCCTTCGAAACGCGTGAACTCATTAATGTATAGCTATTTTGAATTTGAGCGAAAAAAAAAGTAAGGAGCAATCTATGTTGATTATAAGAACGTTTACCGATCACAATTATTAACGATCGTTATTTGATCCACTACTTAATTCTTGTGATAGAGTACAGAGACATTTCCATTATCTCATCCAATCATTTACGAGGTATTGCTGCTTCAGATCCTTTGCGGTTCACTTCACTATAATTGAATCGTCTTACTCAACAGCGAAACATGCGTTCTTACATCTTTCTTCAAGCGCTTATGCTTTAGGAAATAATAAAGTTGAAAACTTAATTCAACGAAGCCTAATAACAAGGAATAAATTGTAGTTTATCCATGAAGTTGGAAAAAAAAATATAAATAATGACTGGTCCGTTACGTATATGGTAGTACACAACGCATAAAATATCTAAAATCAAGTGTTACTTTACATTTTCATCACGTCTTAAAACTATTTTTATATTGATATTTTTTATCCTATATTTTTTTATATATTCTTAGAAATTAAATGATGTTAAATGATGACCTTATTAAAGTAACTTTAAAAGCCGAGAAACAAAGATAACATAATTCTAATAAAGATGGGGTTGATATCATGAAACATCAATTGCTAATAATAAATGAATGGTTAAAAATAAATCAAGAACGATGACTATTAAAATATCTATTTTTCTTTATACATTTCTTACTTGAATTATTTAAATTTTTATTTATTATTAATTGTACATAGATTAAAGCCGATCTGAAGGGACTAGGTTTGGACGGCGAACGGTGGGAGGAGGAGGGAATAAGCGATTGGTGGTGTCGGCATCGGACCTTCGGATTCGCTGAGCCTTTTATTATTATTATTAATTCTACATATAAGGTGAATGAAGTTTCTTTAGGGTGATGTAGATATCGTAACTCCTACCATTTATTTTCTAGAGCAATTGACACCAGAATTTCCAATGGAAACAGATATTTGCTCCAAAAATGGATAGCTACTGATAATCTTATTTTATGTTGATTTTTTTCCCCGTTCCGATGCCTCCTAAAGGCGTAAATGGCCAAAAAATAGCAAATGACAGACCGAATGTCATTCATGGTCGTTCCATGACTGATGTAACAGAATAAACTTATCTACTTATTGCAAACAAGGTTCTGTAGTTCACGGTACAAACTCCTTTTTACCAAAACTTCGTTAATGGCTCCATCTTATCCTAACCTTTGAATCTTTTATCTACGAAAATTCTCAGAAATGGGGCGTTGCTTTATTAAATTGATAAATTTAATGAGGTACTAAAAGCTCATGAACATCCATTTGATTTCTACTTCAATAGATATTTAATCACAAAATCGAGAAAAAAGGTGACCTACAGAAATATTGTGCCGTTCGGCGCGTCCTCCACCTCCAATATGTCGAAATAATGAGTCAATATAGGCCAAACGGCCTTAAATTTTCGTAGCACACCTTTTTTCTCGATTTTGCGATCAAATTATCATATGACCCAGGTAGAAAGCAAAAGGGGCATTACTGAGTTTTAAGTACTTTTAAATTAAAGAAAAAACGCCCCATTTAAAAGTTTAAGGTTATAGTCCGTGGTACAGACCCCTTTTTATCGAATTATCAACATCCACCTGATGCTTCGTAAATAGTTTCATCTGATCGTAAGCTACAACTATTTTGTTTACGAAAAGTCTTGGACTTGGGCATTTTCAAGCTGGAAGCGGGCAAACTTTGTCTATTTAATTAGGTACTAAAATCTCGGAAATACCCATTTACTTTCTACTGGGATCGTAAGATAATTTGATAACAAAATCGAAAAAAGAAGTGGCCTTAAAAAATATTGATCCGTTGGGCGTGACCTAAACCCCAATATTTCTGTAGGCCACCTTTTTTTTTTATCGATTTTGTGATCAAATTATCTTATGATCCAATTCGAAAGCAAATGGGTATTTACGAGTTTTTAGTACCTAATTAAACAGACAAAGTTTGCCCTCCTCCAGATTAAAAATGTCCCAATTCCAAGAGTTTTCGTAAATAAAATAGTTGTAGGTTACAATGAGATGAAACTATTTACGAAGTTTCAGGTGGATGTTAATAATTCGATAAAAAGGGGGGTGTACCAAGGACTATAAACAATAAGATGAGAAGAAGCCATTCACGAAATTTTGGACGGATGTTAATAATTCAATAAAAATAAGGATTTGTAACGCGTGCTACATTATCTCGTTGCAGGATAAATTGTGGAATTAAAAAAAAAAACACGAAGTTAAGTAGTGAGAGAAAAAAAGGCATTAAACCTAACAAAAGATCTTATAAGGATAATTCGGAAGTTAAACGATTAATAAAATAACTAGGAGCATTTAAAAATTACTGCATAGTTAACTATAATTTCACAAAGAAGAGATAAGTATACATAATTATTACCATGCACATCTATACTAACACGCACTCTCTCTCTTTCTTCATCTCTCTCACAAACCACTCTCCCCTCTTCCCCCCACGTTCTCTCTCAACTCATCCACAAAATATTCTTTTGTACACACACGCGCGCGAGAGTGCACATATTAATACACGCAAGAGCTCTCTTTCTCGCAGACATACAACCCCCCCCCTCTCTCTCTCTCTCTCTCTCCACTTCTTCTCTCTCTCTCTCTATCTCACACACCACTTCTCTCCTCTCTCTCTCTCTCTCTCTCTCACACACACACACACACACACACACCACTTCTCTCTCACTCTCTCTCTCTCTCTCTCACACACACACCACCTCTCTCTCTCACACACACCACCTCTCTCTCTCACACACACCACTTCTCTCTCTCTCCTCTCACTCTCTCACACACACACTACTCCCCCCCTCTCTCTCTCACACACACACACACAAAATACAAACACACACACTCACACTAATCTAAGCACATACCTAACAAATTATCCTAATAGACCTAAAGTAAAGAATACTAACCTGAGCCAGATCCCCTGGACCTGGAGGGTGGAGGTTCAGTGGTGGTGGCGCTGCCTCGGGACCTGCCTGGGAACCTGGTGTTGGGGGGCAGCCTCTCCTCCTCCTCTGTCACTGCTGCTGGTTGCCTTCCTCTGAAAAAAAAAATATAAAATGAAATGAAAGTAAAAAATCCTACATCAGCAACAGTGTTTCTGCAATGTCTTCTATATTCCTGTAGGCTTTCGGAATGGTCAGATCATGTCAGGGTGATGAAATATATGTATATATATCCTGTTCTTAAATCTTGTTTCTTCAATTTCATGAAGTGGGCCCGGTAGTTTAAACTTCATGAAGATCTTCAAGTTCTGCAGTTATTCTTCTGAATGACTAGATGATGGATGAATAAAAACTAAATAGCGAACAAGTCCAGCCATTTTTAACTCACGTCAGCTTCGCCACTCTTTTTGAAATATCTTCTTCTCACAAACAAAAAAAAAAGTACTGATGGCAACATCCAGATTCAGAAAAGGCTTTCCTGAAACCTGATTCTAAAGGCTCTTTGCATATTGGACGTACAAAGGTCATGGAGAACACCTTAAATATGAGCGTTCACTACTTTTAGCAGTTATGAATATTCTCATTTATTTTGGTTGCTTCAGGAAATCAGCACAAGATGTAATTTTGTTCAAGATCAAATTAATATTTTCCTAGCCAAAACTATGGTACATTAACACAAAATATATTAAACATTTCAATTTTGTTCTAAATGACAAAATATTGATAAACTTTCTAAATAATAAATGGATATCCGAGATATTGAGAAAGCGTGGATATTGGTAGTGGAAAAAGAATCTCCAAGAATTTTTATTAGGTTAGCCGATGTTTCGACTCAAACATATGAGTAATCCTCAGGACTATCTTTCGGGATTCAAGACATGAATTCAAGTTTTTGTCTCGAATCTCAAAAGATAGCCCTCAGGATTACCCACATGTTTGGGTCGAAGCATCGGCTAGCCTAACAAATATTCTTGATTGTAAATACTCATAATTTTCTTTCATCCTAATTATTGATCGGTCGATTAATTACCCAACTTTAAAAAAATTAAATCTAAAAAAAGAAAATAAATGTTAACTTATACGGCTAAATGGATTTTGAATGAAATCTTGAAGAAAAAAAAAATCACTTGTACAAAATAAAAACATTAAAAAAAAGAAATTTTAATTCAAGATACCTGGAAGGTGATCTGGTTGGCAGAACTTCGTTGGAGGATGGTTCGATAGTTGTTACGGCGATGTCGGAGCTCTTACCACGCCCCCTCTCGATAGTTGTGTACCTGTGAATGAAACAAATGAACATTGTAACAAATTATTATTGATAGAATATAATCCTACAAACAGTGGAAGAAGGAAGAAGGGTTTTCGTTCAAAAATTGCCACTGTTCATAAGACAGAATATATTGATATAATATTCCGAATAGAGAAGACGAAGGAAAGTAAAAATATTGTCATAAATTTTTTATAGAAATTTAGATATGGAGGTAAAGATTCTTAAAATTATGAGGATGGCAGATAGTTGGAATATGCGGTCATTTATGCGGTTTATTTTGTTTTCTGACGTTTCGATACAAGCATGTGTGTCATTATTAGAGAACTCGTGTTCTCACCGAGTACATCTTTGCCTCAACGATGACGCACATGCTTGGGTCGTAACGTCGGCAAACGTAATAAACAACCTTAATGACTGCATATTCCGATTAATTGCCATCCTCATTATTAGAAATGAGCCAACTCACAATTAATATTTTAATAATTACCAATCCAAGGACAAACAATCTATTTATAGATGAATGCTTATTGAAAATGAAGTACAATTGAATTTATAACTTTTAATTTTTATTTATATTATTTTTTAAATAATATTTTATTAAAACAACAAAGTGGTGAGCCGGACGTGATCAAAAATAGACCTGTAAATGACAGATAACAGAACGATAATTTACAAGCTCAAGCTTCTCTACCTCAATTTTGATAAACTCTAGATTACACCGTGGGTCAACATAATTAATATTATTTTTCATAATCTACAATAATTACTGCAGAACTTATTAGTGATTGGATTGTTTTAACACTTTGAGCCAATGTCAACCATGAAGAAAAACGGTCCTGCTTAACATATAAATTATCTAATATGTCATATAAAGTAAAGAGTATATACTTCCTCTCTCCTCACCAGCATTAAAGTGCAAATATCAAGGTTAAAGAAACAATAATTTTGTAATACAATAACGCCATGTCAGTATTATTACCTAAAGAAACCTTTCACAAAAACAAAACAAACATTTGATTGTAAGATATGCAACAAGGTTACGACTGAGCTCTGAATGGTAAGGAATAAAGCGTAGTAGTTTTATTTTCTCCATTTAATGAGAATCCATGCTCCCCACCGAGATCAGTTATGGCGTAGGTGCTGGCGAAGTGAAGAGCGTACAAGTGTCCATTACTCAGCCTTATCTCGAGGCAGTTGTACCAACCGACAACAACGGCTGTAAATCCACCTACAAGGACCCGGCCTCTTCTGCACAACCTGGGTGATTGCCCTCCAGGGGTCCTTGCTCCAGCTGGTAACCGTAGCAAGAGAGCAATATCCTTTATGATTATTATTATAACTGGTGGTAAAAAGAAATATTATTTATCTTTTATTATACTATTTAATTAGGAAGATTTTAAATGCATCAATTAAACAAGACACAGGATATTCTAACAAAACGCGATTTCCATCAAGTCACCGTATCAAACAGTACTGGGGTTAGTTTCGTTATCTGTCTTCTAACAGGACTGGTTGGAAATAGTGTAAGGCCTCAACTATCTGCAGATCAAGAATGTCGTAAAAACTGAAGGACAACTGAATAGGAGTTTGATATCTGATCTCGGCTGGGACTGAAGGTAACTCTTGTAGAGGTAGTCTTCACTAACTAACTGATTGAGTTTACCGCGGGTCTCAGGACAATTACTCACAATGAGAAGAGAGAGGAAGAATGGAGTAAGTAATTAAAGGTGAAACAATACAAGATATATGGTAATGGGAATGGGTACCTTGATCGGGCCGGAGCCGCGTTGTCCTCTGCCGGCTGGACTGGCCTTCGCCTTCTTTCTTCCTCTGGCTTGGCTTCCTGCTGCTGGCCTCTGGTGCGGCCTCTTCCTTCCTGCCTCCTCTCCTCGTAGGTGTCCCCACCCCTGTGCCTCACTGGTTCTTCGACCCTCTGTTCGAATCCTCCTCTTGTTTCGTCCAATGCTTGACGGTCACGAACCCTTCCTTCCGATCTCGATGACTGCCTACCTTCATACTTCAGATCTTGCCTATTGTCTTCTTTGTAGTCTTGTCTAAAGCTGTCTCTGGTATCCTGTCTGAGATTGTCTGTTCTTTTTTCGTCACGCAAATCTTGTTTCGCCTCCTTCCTAAAGGATCCCTGTCTTCCGTCATGTGTCAGATCTTCTTGACGACCATTCTTCGGTTCGTCTCTGAGTTCTTGTCTCGATATTTGTCTGATGTCTTCTTCTTTATCCTGATCTCTAACATCCTGTTTGAGATGACTCTTAAGCTCCTGTCGAGGTGTCGGCGAAGGTTCTTCGTCTTGTAAGTCGGGTCTTTCAGTTTTGCCTACACCGGGTTTATCTGTTTTCGCTCCACCTTTCCCTTCTTCATCTTCATCATCGTAATAATAATAAACGTATTCATACTCGTATTCTTGACCATTTGGTCCTTTCTTCACATTGATGCGTGAGGACTGTGAACTGGCTGCTGCTACAAGCGGCGTGTCTTCGAAATCGGGGCTTTCGTCATGCTTTTCCTCTTTCTTGTGGTGTTTATCATTGTGTGCGAAGCTGGAATTATAAATAAAATAAAATTATAATAAATCATAATTGAAATAGTATCCATTGGTTACAAACTTAAATTAACTTTATAATATGGTTATTATTATGATAAAGTTATATATTTTAAAAATCTCATCCGAATATCGACAATTTTAAAGAATAATCATTTTCGAATTTGGTTTAATTAATTACTAAAATATCACGATTCATTTTAAGAACAATATGAGCTAGAAGGATAATACTGAGAACAATGGGGTGTGGGTAGAATCCAATCATGCCAATACTGATCATGACATCACTGTAAATGAGCCACGGCGGAAGAAGTGGCAATTCAACTAATCTAGCAGATGGTGATGTCATTATACATATTGGTTCAAGTAATAACGATTATTGATACTAAATAATTAAATTTGAATATAATTAAAATAATATAAGAAACTAAAAGCCAGTTTTTACGCAATGTGAAATAAGCTTATTGATTGGACGGTTCAAAGGAATAACCTGACCTGATGTGCTTGAGAGGCGGGACCCCGTTGCCTGTGGGCTCCTTGAGGTGGGCTCCGACCGCCCCCTCGTCTTTGATGGCCGCCTTCAGTCCTGTCTGCTCCTTCTTGGCAGGGGGCAGGCTCGACTTCTTGATCTGCGCAGAATCAGTTTGACAGTTCTTAGAAAAGATATTTATTTCTCTAAAGTTATAATAAAACTATTAATTTATGCTTTAGAACAAATGAACAGTTGTTGAAAAGTCTGCAGTCGTTTAATTTACAATTGTTAATTTTTTTTTATTCAACAAAGTGGTGAGCCCGACGTGATCACAAACAGAACGAACCCTATCAGACAAATAACACAGAACGATAATTTATTTGCGATTCAATTGAATCTTTATATTAATTGTAATTTTTTTCTTATCTTGGACGATTCCTCTTTAAGTCAGGTTATGAGGTTTTAGAAAAATCGTCAACAAATTCAACTAGATTTGTTTAACTGATTCAAAATTCTAAAATATTGGATACAAGTTCCAGCGTTCATTTCAATAGCCCTTATTAGATGCCAAAAAAAAAATAATATATTGCTAAAGTTTTAAATGAGTATATTATACACAGATTTATTTTTTTCAGAATAATAAAAAAATACTGCCAATAGTATTTAAAAAGTTATAATGTATTATAAATTACAAAACCAAAAGATATTTCCAGTAAAGAAGGGAAAGTAAATTTTTGTTATGAATGAGCAAGTGGGATTCGTTTTTAGTCTTCCTTAAAACTCTTAAATATGAATTTTTATCGAAATAAAATATTAAAAATTACATCACTTCATTTTATATCTTGGAGAATTTGTTTCGCGGCCGTTGAAGTATACATAACCCCTCAGGATTTTCTCTAAAATCAACGTTAATGAAGCCCCTGGAATGCTCTTGATTGCTCCTATTCAACCCACATCGATAACTTTCGGATTTTATTATTTTGTAAAGTAGAAATAAAGAAAAAACACCCCAAACTTTTTTTTCTGTTTAGTACTAACATCAACTCCCTGCACAACCGTGGGACTTACGACTGTACTCTCTTACAATGTTCTAAACCCAAGACCCTTCATGGCTTGTAATGAAATGAAAATATTTTTATTTTAGGGACTGTTGTCCATTTAGAAATATAAATACTGAGAAAATGCCTGCATACTGAGCCATACATTAAATTAAATATTTACAAAATAATATCTAATTAAAACATAAAAATATAGAAAGAAAAAAGAACAAAACAAAAACATACATATATATAGAACAAAATAACATAAGTAAACAGCATGGTTTCTGGGGGATCTTAAGAAGTTCTCTTATGTACATTTAGTGATCAGTCGGATTGGGAAAAGAGTAGGTGTTTAAAAAGGAGAGATTTAAATGAGGAAACTGGTTGTGCATGTCGGATATCGGAAGGTATAGAATTCCAAAACGAGGCGGCTTGAATTACAAAGGATTTGTCAAACGCAGCAGTCCGGTGAGGAGAATAGAGGCCAGAAGTATGGGATCTGGTGGGATGGGATTGAATGGAGGATTTGAATAGTAGGCTCTGAAGAATATAACAGGATCGTAGACTTCTAATGACCTGGTATACAAAACGTAGCAAGGAAGTACTGACCGTGGTAGGATGGATAGAGCCACTTCAACTCGGTGTAAAACTCGGTAATATGCGTATCTCTTGAGGTCCCGAAGAGAAAACGGATTGAGCAATTCATTAGATGTTTAAATTTGGCTTCGAGTTGTTTTATATAGAAGCAGATAGCGTTGACGGGTGAACTGTTTTAGGGTTTAAATGGTACGACGGGAAATTTGAGAGATGTGTGGTTTCCAAGAGAGATAACACGAAAAATAAAACGAAGATTTTTAACGGAAATTTGGAACAAAATAGGTGAGTTATTTAGGAGAAGATTGGGAGGTAGAGGGTTGGATTTTATGATTCCGGGTGATCCGATGATGATAGCTTTCTTCTTCTCGGCGTTTAGGATGAGCCTTTTGCGGTTCGTCCAAGCACAGATTCTGCCTATATCTTCTTGAAGTTGTGGGATTGCTGTAGAGGAATCAGCTGGATCGAAGGAAAGGTTAATTTGGACATTATCGGCATACAGGTGGTATTGACGATACAGGATAGAGGACGGAAGGTCATTGATATCGATGGAAAAAAGGTTGAGAGATAAGGAGGACCCCTGGGAAACGCCTCTAGACAAGGATAGAGACTCTGATGGGGGATTATTAGGGACTAAAACATACTGGGAGCGACCGGCGAGGAAGGATTGGAACCATTTAAGGATACTAGAAGACAAGGAGATATTTATAAGTTTGGTATGGAGTATATTGTGATCTACTGAGTCAAAGGGCTCTGGAAAAGTCGAGAAGAATAAGGATGGCGAGCTTCTGTTGGTCCATAGCTGTATGGAGATCTTGGGAGATTTTAATGAGGGCGGAATGGGTGGAGTAGTCAAGTCTAAAACCGCATTGGCGGTAGCTCAGAAGGTTATTTTGCTCGAGATAGGGGGATAATTGGGATTGAATTAATCGTTTTAGAGGTTTGGAAAGGTTAGGTAATAGGGAAATTGGGCGGAAATCATTAGGGGATGCGAAATTGGAGGTTTTATTCAGCGGACGAACAAGAGCAGTTTTCCAGGTGTGGGAAAGTTGGAACTTTGTTGGACTAAATATGATGAAGGACGGGAAGCATGGAGGGAAGTGTGAATTTAATCGAGTTAAACGGGATATTATCTGGTCGAAAATCATTGGTTTGGGATTTACGAATGGAATTAAGGAGGTCTTCGGGAGTAATATGAGAAAAGAAGAAATGATTGGGATTAGAGAACGAAAGAATGGGAGTCGGAGTTGGCGCTAGGAAAGAGAAATGGGAAGGAGAGGAAACAAAGTAAGTATTGAGTACTTCAGGTGAAATAGGAATAGACTGGGTTTGGGTGGATTTGTCTAAGAACAGTTTACGGAGGTTACCCCACTTAGCTTTGGAATTCGGAGTGCTGGACAGGGATTGATGGAAGAGAAGGGATTTGGCGCGGTGTCTTGCTGATTGAGTGCTGTTTCGGAGTACTTTGAAGAAGAGATAATCTTCAGGAAGGCGAGGTTTGTTTTGAACCGCCGCCTCGCAACATCTCTTCTTCTTATGCATTCCCTCTTAATGTTAATGTTAGTTAGCCAAGAAGCGGGGAGATATCGGATTGTTTTTATTATAAAAAGAGCATGATGGTCTAGGATGGTATGAAGATGAGTGGTAAGGGTTTTTGCCATGCTGTCAATAGAGTTAGGGTGATAGATGGAGTCCAATTGGATAGTATCGAGATCATGCGAGAGGGTTTCATATGTTAGGGTATTGAGGTTTCGGAAAAATATGGTTCGGGGAGAGAAAATTAAGACCGATATATTGTAGGTAATCTGGATAAGATCATGGGAAGACAAGAATGGAACCGAGTGCTGAGAGGCGGCAGGGAGTTTGTCTGAGGAATCTAGGATAAACAGATCAAGCCAAGACTCCGAGAATTGGGCATGGTGAGTTGGATTATAGGGAACTATGTAGAGAACAAGGGATCAAAGAGGATTGTTAGGTAAGAATAACTAGACGATAGAATTAGTAATTGGTATTCAAGTCTCTGGTTAGGATAACGTTGGAGTAGGACGGGATTAGGTTGTAAAGAGTAGTATCAAATACTTGGTCAAAAAGAATTCTAGGAGGGCTTGGATGTCAATAAAGAGAAGGGAAGACAAGGTGGTGAAGATTTCAGCAAACAGATATTCGATGTTAGGAGAATCCGTAGAAGAGCAATTGAGGATTTTGGATTTAAGACTGTCATGAACAAAGGAGAGTATAGGTGGGTAGAGAAGTCGGGGTTGAGGGCTTTACTTAGGTAAACGTAGTTGTGAGATCAGTCAAGATCCAAGATGAATGGAAATTGAATTATTTTTTTATTTTTCCAAAATATTAGAGGCTTTGGTAGTTTGGTTACGTCATAATTTCCTGCTATCAACTTTTCTGAAATTCAAAAACTGTCTTCAACTCGCAAAAGCATAATACATGCTAGGCCATATTCATCAACTACCAAAACTTGTGAGGTCGCCTTGGTAATTTTTTTTTCTCTCGAGGGATTGAAATGATTGCGAAGTCATTTTCACTTAAACAAAAATCGTCAAGTGTAGCAAAATCTTGTGCTGTGGTTTCAACTGTTTTTTCTAGAATTGCCTCAATATTCCGGATGATGTCACCAGCATCTCCAAATGTGTTGATCAATTTTTTTTTCTCATAAGTTTGTTATTTTTCTACAATTTTTTTTTGTGATTAAAAGAAAATTAAACTAACACCTAAGTGGGCAGTTACACGCGTTGAAAAATAATTTACTTTTATTAATAATTATTGACGATGCCAGAAAGGCTGAAACTATAGTTTGTTTTTTTAAAACTCTTTATTCAAGATATTTACAACTGTATTACAATATAAAGACATCAAGTAAATGTGTACACAAGAATATAATCACTTGAAAACGCTTGTTGATAAACTACCCACAGGTAGCACTCTAATAATATGTCTACAGAAGGAGATCACGAGGCCATCTTCTTTTCAGACGCCTCGGGGGATTTTCAGGATTCGAAGAGGAAGCGAGGTTAGAAACGAGAGGATTCGAATGGTTATAAAGTTTATTATGGACGGATAGGTGTCTGGATTGGGCCAAATCGGTGACATATGGAGCATTAAGGATTTTACGAAGGATTTTGGATTGTGAGGATTGTAGCCCCATAGTTCAACTCCGTCAGTCCAAATAGGTCTTATTATAGTCATGTGTATTAGTCTTTTGTAATTAATTGAAAGTTTAGAGCGTTTGTCAAGTAAGTATTGGAGTAAGCGGAAACGTCGAGCAGTTTCTTGTTTCAGTCTTGTATGAGGGTTCCAAGTGAGACGTTTGTCCAGGTGGAGTCCAAGATATCGTATTTGTTCAACAGGGATAAGTGGGGTGTTATTAAAGGATACTGTAGGACAGGAAGTCATAGGTTTACGACGAAGGGTAAAAGTGATTTGTTGGGATTTATTGGAATTTAATTTAATTCTTCAGTTTTCACACCATTCTTCAAGGTTTGTGATGTGTGATAGAAGAGTTTGGGATGCAATTGATGGTTCGTTATTGACTGATAGAATACATGTGTCATCATAACATTGTTAGGATGGGTTGGAATATCAGCTGTATAAACTGTGTAAAGGATAGGACCAAGGATACTACCTTGTGGAAACTATAGTTTAAACAAAGAAAAAAATATTTGTAAGGGTGACAGTGTAATTTCTTGTTCCAGTAGTAGACATGTTTTTGAACCACAAGTAGAAACTCCAGTTTACTTCTGGAACAAGACATTTTCTGGAAAAATTCGAACACTGCCATGGTTAGAATAGAACTAAGAATGATATTCAATCATCACTTCGAAAAAGTTGAGTTTTCTAGTAGTAGATACTTCTGTCTACTACTGCAACTGGAATTATCAATATCCCAGTAGTATAAAGTTTGTTTTTGTGCGCGACTGAGTGTTGACGTGACAGGCTAAGAGGGTATTATTCATGGAAGGAGAAAGGTTGGCTTATTCTACAGATGGAGACATTAGGGGTAGGAATATTTTAATAGCGGGTTGAGTTGAAATGAGCCCAGAGAACATTATATATAATAACTAGATGCAAACAAAAAAAAAAAAAATAAATAAATCCCAGATTTTGGAAATAATGAGAAATAGAAAACATACATTGAAAAAAATTAATGAAAATCGGGCGACATGAGTTTCTACGTTAAGAAGAACTAGTTGTAAAAATTAAAAAGTCTGTACAAATCAAACTTAAAATGCTGTTATTAGAAAAAATAATATTATTACTGAAATGTGATAAAATAGAGGCGACAGTGGATCGTTGGAGTCCTCTTAAAGTTGTTTATGTGTTATTCGAAAAAAAATAGAATCTAGGGGAAAATTTCGTATAACAAATTTTTATTTTTCTATTGCTTTAAAAACTACTATTTAAGCTCTATATGTCCAAAAAGCACAAGAAATGCCACTCATGATTTTTCGAAGTGCTAAAACTCCGACTTTTTGTGTTTTACGGATCAATATTGGGATTCGTCACTTTCTATATAATCCCATTCATTTTGACATCTCCTAATGGAAATCCATCGCTCCTGAGGGCTCGAAAGATAACGAGGTGAAAAGATAACGCCAATAATTTATTTACAGGTTATCTCGTATGTAGTGGAAAATATTTAGACACCACAGCAGACCTCTAGAGCGACAAAAAAGTTTATATAAGCATGGTCTGATTTACAGCAGGAAAGTAGAGAATTCAAGCACTGTGTCACGTTGTTGTTAAATAGGAAGCGTAACTAAAAAAATGTTTAATGTAAGTAATTAACTATTTATTTATAAACTAGACAGAATTTACTCCAAATTAAAGTAAAAACAATGAATGAGTTAAAATCATTTAAAGAGGACATTTGAACGGCTAAACTAAGCTAAGTTTTTAAAAAATAATATATTATTTGCTATTTCTTTTAATCCTCCAACTATCCTGCAAGATACTCCAATTTTAGAAAAACTTCCATGGTTAAAAAAAATTGAGTCCATATTAATTATTGAGATTTATAAGAATACAATTTGAGAATCACCTCAAGTTGTGTAAATAAATTATGTGATTTTATATCCAGTCACCTAAAAGTACCAGCGATTTAAACTCAAATGACCACAATAAATTATAGCAAAACTTTTAATTCTTGTTTTTCTTTAACTTGGAATGAATTATAATCAATAAAATTTTTTAAATCCATTTTTTATTTTAAAAAAAGTTTAATAGTAATGATCTTTCGTGTTTCTAGTCATAATATTAAATCTGATGATTGCTTCGATTATTTTTATGAAAATATAAATATTAGGACCCATTCCTCTGTCAGAGATTTAGATGAAAAACACAGTTGCATATATGGTAAATCATTATTTTTCCATCTTTTTTTTGTAAGTAAAATGTATATTTAGGAAATTATGTTTATTATAATATATCCCAGATCATATATTTGTTTATTTAGAAATATTACATTCTGTCACATCAAGGACATTTATAATAGTGATCAGAGAAAGCACACTCACACTCTATTTACAATAAAAACAAAATAAATAATACAAAAACTTAATAATAATAAATACAATAAAATAAAATAAAAATAAATACAATAAAATAAAATAAATGTATATAAACAAAAGAACTAACCTAATCATACAAACTCGGGCTTGAGTGGAGGATCTGGCCATTGCCAAAACTCCAATAGATGCTTATTTACAAAAGGTCTCTGGGCCACTGCCGCTTCAACCTTCGAGGAGGATTGTAAGGATGGGTGGTGCTGGATAGAGATTGTGCAAGGGGATTTGGATGATAGGTAAGGTTTTGGTGAAATTTGGAGAATTTTTCTGGAATAAGGTCTAGGACAAATGGGATATTAAGGTCATGGTGTAGGATTTTGTTATTTACATAGAACGGAGCATCAACTATTGTTCGAAGGACTTTAGATTGAAAGGATTGAATACGTTTGATGTTAGAAGCTTTTGCTGTCCCCCACAGTTCAAGTCCGTATGTCCATATAGGTTTCAGTATTGTCTTGTAGATAAGTAATTTGTTTTCAATAGAAAGTTTGGATTTTCTGTTTAGTAGTCTGTATAGCTGGCCGTATCGTCGGTTGAGTTCTTGTCTTTTGAGTCTAGTATGTGGGTTCCACGTTAGTCTTCGGTCTAAATGAAAGCCAAGATACCGGACTGTGTCTGAGTAAGGAAGCTGGATGGAATTAAAGTGTACTGGTGGACAGGAACTGCGTCGGAGTGTAAAGGTAATATGTTGGCATTTAGATTCATTAACTTTAATGCGCCAGTTATTACACCAGTGCTCAATCAAGGTGAGGTGGTTTTGGAGATTTAAGGATGCTATGTTGGGATCAGAGTTGGATGATAAGATTGCGGTGCCGTCAGCGAATGTTGCAAGAAAAGTATCGGGATGAACAGGGATGTCAGCAGTAAAGAGGATGTAAAGCACGGGACCCAAGACGCTGCCTTGGGGAGCAATGGCTTTAACGGAGTAGATATTGGAAAATTCTGTTCCACAGCGAACTCGGAAGGAGCGGTCAGAGAGGTAGGATCGGAGGACTAGGTACAAGGACTGAGGTAAATGGATTTTGAGCTTGAAGAGCAGTCCGGAGTGCCATACCCGGTCAAATGCCTGTGCAATGTCCAGAAATGCACCCGAACAGTATTCCTTGTTTTCTAGGGCTGAGGAAATATGATCAACAACTCGGAGTCCTTGTTGAACAGTAGAATGTTGGGAGCGAAAACCAAACTGATGGGAAGGAATATTTTGGGATTCTATAATGGGTAGGATTCGTTTCAAAAGGATCTTTTCAAAAATTTTTGAAAGGATTGGGAGTAGGCTACTTGGTCTATAGGATGTTGAGATATTGGGAGATTTGCCTGGTTTTTGGAAAAGGATAATAGTGGAGTGTTTCCATAGCAGAGGAAAGTGGGTGGTGCGTAGGATACAATTGTAGATATATGTAAGGAATATGACTGCTTTGGATGGAAGTTGTCGAAGGATTTGAGGGGTAAGGAGATCATGTCCAGGAGCTTTACGGGGGATTAATTTTTTTAATTGAAATTTCACTTCGGAAGGATGAATAGCTTTTGGGGGCAAGGAAAGTGGGATTGGTGATGTAAGGAGTTCTTCTACTGTTACGGTGTGGGCAGGATGGGATTCCGGATGTGAAATAAATGTATTGGATAGGTGAATGGCGAACTCCTCAGCCTTATCTTCGTCAGATGCTGCCCAGGAGCCATCATCTCGTCGGAGGGGATGGGAAATGCGGTGAGGATTTAAGATTTTGGTAGTGGTTTTCCAAAGGGAATTGTCGCGAGAAGAAAGGGAGGATAGGTAGGAGTTGAAGGAATGTGATCTGAAGGTGGCTAATTCCAGTTTTAATTTTTTGCAGTAATAATTATAGGAGCAGCGGTCGGTAGGATGTCGGGTACGTTGCCACAATAATCTGGCACGGCGTTTGGTTTGGATTAGGTCAAGGAGGTGTTGGGGTAGAATGGTCTTTTTAGGAATTCTGGAG